AGCTTTCTTTGGCAAATTATTCCAACCTGCACCTTAGCACTTTAGCTGTACACGTGTCCCAAAAATAAGTCATTGCCACTGGGCCCACATAATAATAATAATAATAATAATAATAATAATAATAATATATTATTATTATTATTATTATTATTATTATCGAAATAGAAGATAGGCTCTACGGGACGTACTGACCTCACCATTCAAAAGGTCGCACACCCAATAGTAACCCTTTAAAGGAAAAACTAAGAGGTCCATCTGGGACAAGCGGCTGTGCATTTTATCCAAGAGTACAAGACCCATCGATGACCCTGACTACTATGTCTTTAAATTTACTTGTATAATTTTTCACTTCATTTCTTATAATATATTATTTAGTTAAAGTTAATCTTCAAAATTTTTAATTTAAAATTTTAGTTCTTAAAATTAACCATTATCAATTGTGTTAGTTTTTACAGTTAAAATTGAGTAATAAAGTGATAATTTATCACATATTTTATTTTAAATAAAAAATAACATAGTTTTATAATCCTTTAAAAATAATTCAATTTTGTCACTAACTTTTAATATTTTGAAACAATAAAGTTTTTAGTTCACCTTCTTACATAATGTTTTCTTTTTTTTATCTGATCATCACTATAATAATATTTTTTTTATATAAATATGTTTTGTTTTTTTTTCACTACATTAGCTTCATTTTCTCTTTCTCTCCATAATTCTCTTTTTTTTTTAACCTAAAATCTCATATTTTCTCTCTCAAATACAATTCAACTATTTTAAGTTCTCATCAATTTAAATATCATTACTCAAACACATCTTTCTCCTCACCCTTACACTTGTTAAAATTACCTTCAAATATAACCTTTTCTACCCACCTACTCCACATCCTGCACTCCTTCAGACTCTATCCTCCTTCAACTCTTCTAATATTGCCCCTCTCCTTCAACTCTTCTAATATTGCCCCTCCTGATTATAGAAAATCATCCTTTAACTTTAACAAATTTAATATTTATTATGTTTTCTTTTTCATCTAATTTGTATAATTTAAAACATTGATTGAAACCTCCAAACTCGAGACTTGAATCTAGTAGTTCATATGACAAAATCTAAGATGAAGGAGCTTTGTAACATGAACACTATGACAGGGTGGTCAGAGAAAAGAAAAAGATATTGTGAAAGAAAGGCAAAACAAAAGACAAAAAAATATGTTATTACTTGAAAATGTCAAAAAATTAGATAAAAATAAATTATTTTTACATGTCACTTAATATGATATATCATTATTTCTCAATTTTAATGTTTTTAACTACAAAAGCTAACGTAATTAACAATTATTAATTTTAGAAACCAAAATTTCAAATTCAAAGAATTGATTTAATGAAATTACATATTTTAGAGATTAAAATAAATATTTACTCAAATTTATGTATTTTCTACAAGTTTAAAATTTAAATAATAAATCTTCTTAGTTTAATTGTATAAAAGACAATTTAATTTCGTGATTCTTCAATCAATTTCAATATGTCTTTTAATTATTATATTTTTTTTCTTTTATTTTTCCTCTAAAACAAGTTTTAAGGATGACGTTAAACGTTCACCAAAAAGTCAAAATAAAAAAAATTATGTACATGGAGTTAACATAAACCGTATATAATGGCTATTAATAGGATATGTCTTGGCCTACGAATTAAAAATAATTTATGTATTCATTGATTCTATCAATTTTCATTTGAAAAACTGAATTTATTTATTTGAATTTTTTATTTAATTTATATCTATTAGATTATAATTTATTATTTTATTAATTATTAGATGTAAATTAAATAAAATGTTTAAATTAAATGTAAGAGTTTTTAAACTTGTAGGGTAAGAAAATCTTGTTTTATATATATATATATATATGAAAAATTATGAGAGTTTTGTAGAGCAGTTGTTACTTAATAAAGTATAATGATATTACTTAATTATAATGCACTATACATTAATGGTGTAAAAAAGGATGATTAATGGTAAAATAGGTGGATCAGATAATGTATTTATTAAGATATAGAAAAGGATTGGGGGAGAAGAGTAGCTTGTTTAACAAGACCTACTAGTCTAATATCGGGACAAGTGAATAAACGTGACACGTTTATACTCGTTTTCAAGAAGTAAGGTGACACACAAAATTTTAAAACTTTAAAAAACAATCTCATGAATTATACTATAATGCTCTGGGAGAGAGTAACTGAGAGGATATTGATCATAGAAGTTATATACATGAAAGAATGTTTATTATTATTATTTTAAAGGATGATAGTATATTTAGAAAAACTTTATAGAAGGCTTAAAAGAAGTAAAAGGTGTGATAAAATTATACCAAATTTAATAAAATGATATTTTAAATATTAATTGATTCAATAGATTAAATTTATAAAATTTTATACAATGCGATACTTTATCATTCTATTTTGTTAAAATATTACATCATTTAAATGTTAAATTGATAAAATATATTTATTATAGAAATAGTAGTATAGACATCTTGACATTCAATACTATTTTAACCAGTACTGTATGTATGCTTTATGATATTATAATTGTTAAAAATTATCATATTAATAAGATTGCGTGTTGAAATGTCTGTTTCATCTGCAATGTAAAGGGCTATAAATTGACCTGGCTGAATTTAACAGTCTGGATGCAAGATCTGACCAGTTGGTGATTTTTGAATTCTTAAAGGGCTCTATGAATGAAGAACATGCATTTTAATAATTCTGGATGACTCTTCTTTTGTTTTAATAAAAGAAGAAATTTTATTTTTTAACAAAGCAAGATATGTTCTTGGGAATGACTTTGAGCCAATGGGTTGGTCTTTCATTGAAGCTTTCTCACCATTGATTTGATCTAGGTTTTAGAAAGGGTGTGGGTTGCATATATCATTTTGTTTTTGGGTAAAACTCACCATCTTTGGATGTAAAGAGGCAAGTAATCTAGTGGCTGCAACTCCACAATGTCCTTAGTCAATCAAAATGACCGAATTGGAGATGGGTTGGACCAATTTTCTTTACGCAAAGTAAACAGACTCCACCCTCAATAGCCTTTTCCCATCCTAAGATTAAAGGGGAAAAAACACTAAAAGATAAGGAAATTCACAAGGCACCAAATTAGTCAAATTCATGAGATACCCACTATGTATCATGGGCACACTGTTTGTCATATTGTCTTCTTAGAATTTGAGTTCATTAAATAAAGAAAGAGAGAAAAAAGAACCTCTCCTTTGATGTGGAGGAGAAAATTTAAAATCCATGAATTTCAATTGGACTATTTCATTTTTACAAGTCCTTAATTTTTCCTTTTTGGTTTGGTCTAATGCTAGTCCTAACTTGATAATTGATGTAGTGTGTCTTGGGCGTTTGCTTTGAATGATTGAGTGCGAGATTCATGTGGCTAGTGCTATAAGCTTCCTTAATCACCGTTGGTTTGAAATCAATTTTTTTTAAAACTAACTAAAGCAAAAGCATATTTCTGAAGGGTGGCCCCAATATCAACCGCCCTGGCTTAATCAACGGTGTTGATTGGGTTATGACAACAAATTGTCACACAGGTATTTTTCTCTGTAAAGACCCACCAAAAAATCATTGAGAGTATAAAATTATGAATATCTATGATCAATTATATCTCATAAAAAATATAGTAGGAAAAGATTTATGATCAATATTGAGTTATTTAGTTATTATGAATCGAAACTGTTTGACTAAAATCCATATTGTGAAGATAAGTATACAGTCTACAAGATATATGAAAAAATATATTAGTTTTATCTCTCTTATCAGTTTCTTTTAACATGTCTAATATTTATATACAATAATTTGATTTTAATGCACTCATTTAGTTATTATAAATTTATAATATCTATACATTGTCAACTAATTATAATATATTATAAATATAAAATGTATATTAATTATTACAAAAATTAACAATGTTCATTCACATGATCTATAATTTAGTAAGGGTGTAAATGTTATTGTATTTAAATTATATTATATATAATATTAATTTTGTTTTATTAAACTTTTTATATGACATTTTTATAAATTTTTATTTTTAATTTTTAAATATAATTTCATTTATTTCATATTATTCATTTTTCATTTATTTTATGTATATATCTTTTGACTTTTTTTAGTTATTTTATGTATATGTTGCTTGAATTTTTATAATTTCAATCTTTTAATTTTTAATTTTTTAGTTATTTTATCAATTTATAAAATATTTTTTATTATATATGTTAATCTTAAATTTAAAATAATATAAACTATATATTCATACAATATTCATTAAGTTTTATTTGTCACTTATTTATAAATTATATTCTTTGATTTTACATATAATATTATATTTCTTGTTTATTTTTTACATTACATAAAATTGTAAGTTAATAAAAATAATCAATTAAAATAATTTTAATAAATAAATAATTTTCAAATATTTCATAGACAATTTTAATAAAATAGTTTTGGCATTGTTTATAGATAAATTATAACTAAAAATATTAGCTTAAATATTATAATTTATACTGTGTCAATACAAAATACAAATATTGAAGTTATAATAAATATTTTATCTAGTTAATAATTAAAAAATAAATAATTTATATTACAAGTTATTAGATAACATATTGTTTACATGTAAAAACATTAGTCTCATAAATATCTTGTTAAATATTACCATTTGTGTGTCTAATTTTTAAAAATACATTTCTTAGTTTAAAACGTACAAATTCAGTAATTTATTTTATATGGGAAACCCAAAGTTTTAAATTTTAATTATTTTAAAAGAATTTAAATTTTACTTTGATACATATTTGAAACATTTATTTTAACAAAATGGAAACTGAAAAAACAAAAATGAAATCTTTCAAATAACAACGACAAATAACAAATAAAAAAATAAAAACAGAGAAATAGGGGAGAAGGTGGGTTAAAAAAAATAAAGAAAAAGCTGAACATTTACTTCTTGTACAATACAACAAGAGGTCACATACACATACCTTCCTCTCTCTTTCTCTTTCTCTTTCTCTCTCTCCATTGCACCTTCCCTTCTTCTTTTCTCTGCCATTTTTGAGATTCCTTCACTGGTCTTTTCTCTTCCATTGGATTGTATAGATTACCACCTAAAATACCCACCTATCAATCTCTGTAATTCTATTTGATTTGTGTGAAAAAAACTTTTAAGGACTGTAAAACACAAACTCTTCTTCTGGGTCTATAGGCTACTGCACTTTTATTGCAAACTATTTTCTAGGTTTGCTGCAGAATTAAGCCTTCAATACCCACTACTACAGACCGCATATAAACCTTCAAAACAACTGTTATATTTTCAGAAAAATTTCATTTTTCTTTGACTTTATTTTTTTTTTTGTTAATAAATTATTTTGCCCCCTTTTTCTGCAATTTTTTCATATATATAATTTTTCCTTCGCTTGACGAAAAGATTGAGACATGGGCAAGCAAGGGCCTTGCTATCACTGTGGAGTTACAAGTGAGTTCTTGTTTCTCCAAGATACAATTTTTTGTTTCTACTTTTTTTTTGGGGAGTTATTGACCTTTTCAAACTTTGTCCTCTATTAATTCTAAGTGTCTTGCAACCGATGGCATGGATTGTGATTTTGATAAAATAGATATATGTGCTATGGGACGAGTTGTTGCTGAACAAATAAACGAACAAGACAATTTTATTGTAATGTTCTTCTTTTGTATTCATTGGAATTAAAGAGTACAAGTGTTCTCTTTGCTTAGAATTGAAAGTTCAGGAAAATTCTATTTATTTCCTCCTTTTGATGTGTTTTGTGTCACTCCTTTGTGGGTCTTTGGTTTACTTGACTATGTCTGAAGTTGAATAAATGTAATTGGTGCAAAATTAAGCTTGGAATCTATTGATTGTTAGACTGGAGTGGACCTGTTTGTTGATAGGAAGAACACCAATTGTTGTTAAAGATGTTTATCAAAAGAGTCAATTAACACTTCGCTTATCCTCATTTGGATTATGTTCAGATAATCCAGAGTGAAAAATAAAGTAGGACAATTATGCTTTTGCAAAATGTCCATGATTAATTCACTCGTGTTTTGAAAGGATTTATGGAGTTGTCTGTTGCCACTTTCTCTATGCAGCAACTTCTCACTTTATCTTAGGATATTGGTCCTTGCATTGTATTCTTCCTCCAGACAAGTGTTACCCTCTTGCATTTTGGCTGGGAAAGAAAACATGTTCCTTGTTTATTCATTATTACATTTTCAAGCCTTCTGGATTTGAGACAACTATTTTGTTTATAGTGATCACCTTGACAGAACTTATCCTGCAACTTAAGTAATATATATGTTCATTGTTTTTCTGATGAATTTAAAAATGGTGTCTTAAGTGTTGAAGCCGTTGCTATCGCTTTTCACTTCAAAACTGTATTGACTGTGTTTTGAGTACAGTGATTTCGGTCCCAAAATATGAGAAATTTTTAGTTAGTTTGCCTTAACGTTCATGCGATGATACTGAGCAAATAAGTGTTAATTCTTTTAGTTCAAATGCGAACATCGTCTTCACTACCATCCTACACTTCATAATTTGAGTTCACCCCCATATCTGCTTGGGGAATGTAACATGTAGACTAATATCCTGATAGGCAGATGGTCAACAATTCAGGTAGGAGTGATTGGTTGATGATAATGAATACTGACAGATGCTGCTATCTCAACCTTACAATGTTTGTTGAGTTCTGTTTTCTAGTATATCTGCACAATATGAATGTGGTTGTTGTTTATTCAATCAGAGATACTTTCTATTCTTATTTAAAAGGTCTTTTAAATTTCATAGATTTCTGACAAATAAGCCTTCAATAGGCACACCACTTTGGCGTAATGGACCACCTGAGAAGCCAGTACTTTGCAATGCCTGTGGATCTCGATGGAGGACAAAGGGAACACTTGCAAATTATACCCCTTTACATGCTCGGGCAGAAACTGTTGACCAGGAGGATCAAAGGGTTTCCAGGATAAAGAGCATGCCATTAAATAAGAACAAAGAAGTGAAATTGGTCAAACGAAAGCAGAACTATGACGATAATACTGCATCTGGCCTTGTCCTAGATTATAATCAAGGATTCCGAAAGGCTATGGATGAGGATACAAGCAATAGATCAAGCTCAGGATCCGCAATCTCTAACACGGAGAGCTGTGCTCAATTTGGTGGCATAGATGCTAGTGATTTGACAGGTTGGACAAATTCTGTTGCCAATTTCATCTTCATAACTGATTACTGCAGCATTGTCGATTCCATTGCAACAATGTGAATTTAATGACAGTCCTGATTTATGCGAGCATAATCAAGATGTAGATAATGAACTTGGGGGAAAGGGATAGAAATTTTTTGGAATTGCAGATCAACTTACATGACCTTGATTTTCCTGAAAGAAGACAAATTATTCTTGCTTCTAATTGCACATCATACATATGAGTGCTTTGGTGACAAAAAGTATTCAAGAGGTGATTAAAAATAATTTTTGCAATGAAGGTCGAGTCGTGTCTCAAAGTAGATGTGATGGCAAGTATTATGATGAAACACAAATTATCAACTATTCATTGTTGTATATCTATATTCCCTAGACAATACTTTTCTATTTAAAGTGATTAGTCAAATTTTACACCTATGACATAACCTGCTCATTCTTCATGATTTGCTGACTTGGATAAAAAAACTTTTAGTCTGTTATTGTTCTAAAAATGTAACCTGCTGCTGTTCAAATCAGATGCCTTTGTTTCTTTAATAAAAGCGAGTTATTCTAAGATAGATAATTTGTTTAATTTAGGTCCTGCTCAGTCAGTGGTCTGGGATGCCATGGTGCCTTCAAAAAAGAGGACATGTGCAGGTCGTCCAAAGGCATCCTCTGTTGAGAAGCTCACAAGAGACTTATGTACTATTCTTCATGAACAACAATCTTATTTTTCTGCATCTTCTGAAGAGGATCTTCTTTTTGAAAGTGAAACACCAATGGTCTCTGTTGAGATAGGACATGGAAGCATTCTCATCAGGCATCCTAGCTCTATAGCTCGTGAAGAGGAGTCTGAGGCTAGCTCTCTTTCAGTTGATAATAAACAGTGCCTAATGAGTGAGGCATATTCATGGTCTGGTACCATTCCAATGTATGTTGATCACAGTGGCATTAACTTCTCATCTCATCATGGTGCTGAAAAGATCAGAAACTCTGCTGGCCAAATCATGAAACAAGAGCAGCTTAAAAGGCATGTTTTCCCACGCGAGTTTATTGTCTTTCATTATTTCTAGACAGTTATGCAAGAGTATTAATATTAATAAGAACACTGTATTTTGTCTATTACTGCTGAAAACAGCCCAATTCCTGCACTAGCATAAATTTGGTATTCCTTGAAGGGGTATGGGGGATCTCAACAGGTTTATGAATTGTCTCTATACCTGTGGCTTTGTAAAGAAATTAGAGATAAGTGTGTGGATATTGTTTTGGAGAAGTGAAGAAAGTTTAAACTGTTTAGTGATTAATATTTTTTTAAAATTTCAGGGACAATTCTCAGATTGAAAAACTACATGTTCCTGGAAATCATGATTCACCACTGTGCTTAATAGATTTAAATGTGAGTTGCCCATGTGATTTTCTTTATCCCTCTTTTGATTGACTATATCAGCCTAAATTGGCATTCATTCCCATCCTTGTAATAATTAAAAGGATAATCAAATGTTCTATCCTTATATGGTTTTGCATCAATAATACACACATGCATAATCTGTTTTGGATTTGACAAAATTCTTCATTCATGTAATTTCCTTAGCACTTTCAAGATAGCAGCTGAAATTTATATATAGTTTTAAACTCCTTCTGATAACAGGCAATATTCATTTTACATAAATAATATGCTATGTTTTTGGGTTTTATGTTTTCTTGTTCTATATATATATATTTATAACTATATATTGGTTGGTAAAGCTTCATACTTGTAAAATTGTTAAATATTTAATGTAATTGCTATTGTGTTTGGTTAGGATGTAGTGAACTATGAGGAGTTTATGAGAAACTTGACAAATGAAGAGCAGCAGCAATTACTGAAGTATCTCCCTGTGGTTGATAATCTCAAACTTCCTGATAGGTTAGAACCTGTTACTTGTGTTTGAACCGAATTTTATCATTTATCATAGAATCCTCCTTTGATGTTGTTTTGTAAGTCATAATCTTGAACATAAGTTTCAAGTCTGTCCTTTCGAAAAGAGGGAGAGGGGGGGATGATTGGTAAATCACAAGTCTAAATGCAATATTAAAGGCTTTTCATTTGAGAAGATATCATTGCATTAGTTCTTACCGAAGTATTGTACAAAACTTTCCGGATATTTTAGTCCCCTGCCCCCACAAGAAAAAAAACAGTTTATGTGGTGAATCAGATATCCAACTGTTCAGGAAATAGAAGATATTTAGACTGAATCCAATATTACTGATGGATTGTATTGTTGGATTTGCAGCCTTGAAAACATGTTCAATAGCTTTCAATTCAAGGAGAACTTAACTTATTTTCAGCAACTTCTTGGGGAAGGTGTCTTTGATATCTCTTTGTTGGGGGCAAAACCTGAAGAATGGAAGATGTTGAAAAGGCTTGTGTTATCTAATCTGTTGAAATCAAAATGGGTAGAACACTATAATTTTCTCAAGGTTTGTACTGGTTTATTATTTGAATATTAATGCTTTTGTGTACATTAGTTATTAATATGGATACTTATCAGATATCACATCCAAGGACATTTGCTGATTTGATTTGGATTAACTTTGAGAAGAAAAAACAACAAGTCTAATCAAATTACTTTTCTTACAACATCACCTGATCAATTTTGGAGTCATTTTTCATTTCACTTAGATTTCTTTTAATACATAAATTCATCAAAATATATCAAACATAAGTCTAAACTAATTCACCAAAATATAGTACATACCACTACATACTAAATATAAGTTTAAACAAATACATCAAAATATAAATCTAAATTCTAAATACCGATTCAAATTGTCAATCATATTGTTCCTAAGCTTGATTTTGAGGTACAATGGGAAAGTTATCTAGTTAAGTATGAATAATATAAAAAATTCTTAGGTAAAATATTATTTTAAAAATGTAATGTATAAAATTTCAGTCTGGTTTTCAAATTTGGATACACTGACCCAATTCAGTTCAGTCTTTTAAGTTTTAGTTCGATTTTCTAAATTTTGATTGGATTGGGTTGGGTCTTGAACACCTATATTTAAATCTTTCTATGGGTGCAGAAATGTGAAAACAAAGCTGGAAAATCTATTGATCTAGGACCTACTGGTATGGGATCAAGTAATGTCGCAAATGCCAAGAGGATGCGCGGTAGCCAAAATCAAAATTTTCCAGGTTAGCTGAAAATTTATGTCAATAAAGGAAAATGAAGTATCGACACATCTACCTTGCAAAATGCGGAATATACATTGAAATTTTACTTTGAAATACATTATATCGATTTTGTTACTGTTCTAGTTAAAAACTATAACTGATCTGTTAGTTTTCTCTTCTCTTTATGATTTAATTGAAGAATCGTTATTAACACTAATCAATGAAAATTTCAGAATTGAAGACAACAATGAGGAGCCCCAAAAGGGTGATCCTAAAGGCTGGCTCTCAGGGAGAAGATGTTGTAGAAGATGGCTGTAGCTTCAGTCCAAAAAGCATATTTTCTTTGCCCCGTGGTGGTAGTAGCTTGCACATGCTAGATTCTTTAAACTTTGTTGATGAGAGTTCTGATCAGGATCTGCTGTTAGATTTGCCATCTAACAGTTCATTTCCACAGGCAGAGCTACTACACCCAAATTTAGGCTTTGGTGCTCAAGTCAGCACCAGTAGCAGCTCAGTACACTCACCTGTTGCTCATCCTTGACTAGTCTTTACTAGGTTACTTGGATGGGTATGGACAGAATATTCAATCGTAATTAGGGTCCACATGTTTTGCATCTTAAAACACTTAAATTCATGTACAAGAGATATGATGGTTGTGCTTTTGTTTCTTGCAACCTTCTTCAGCTTGGATTGCCAAAGGATGGAAGTTGAATGGGCTTTTTTGTATAGGTTGGTAATAGATTGTAACATATAGCATGAAATGCGGAGTGATCATCTCCGGAGTTTTGTATGCAATTGTAGTTTATGCTTTGTGAAAGATTGACACCCTTTTTTACCAACAGGTTTAAAATATCAACTCGGTACTTTTATTTGTAGAAATCATATGATGCAGCTTTATGGGATGAGGAGAAAGTACGGATGAATTATTCCAACTATTATTTCAGTTGATAACAATCCCCCTACGAAATCAATTTTTTTTTATGTAAAAGCTTATCCATTATAACTTCTGGCCAAGCTATGATTTTCTGGTTTCCAGCCGAAACTCGTATGCACTGGTAGCCTATGAGAGCTTAAAAGCTATAAAGCGGAGTTTGAATAATAACTCATACTTATCAATAGCTTTATTATTAACATGTTTGAATATACTTTAAAGTCACGTTGGTGCATAAACTATAACTAATGGAATTAAAGTAAATAAGGATTCATGATCATCAATTGTCAATTTGAACACACTGCAACTTTAATGCAGCCATAACACTTCATACTGTCAACTTTAGATTCATGTCATGATGTGTGTAGACCTCATGCGCTTAGCAAGGGGTGTATTTTTATCTACAAAAGCAGCTCTAATATGAAAACAATAGTGGAATTCATCTATATACAGGATCGGTGCAAATGGTTGCAGAATATAATTTGCATTGATGCTTAAGGGTGACAGTTGACACGAATGCAAGTGGCATAAGAAGGAAGGGCTTGATAGTTGAAAAATTAATTATTGCAAGTTTCAATGTAATTCGGTACTAAAACATGTAATAATTAAATAATTTATGCACCCATGTCAAAAATATTTAGTAGTTCAAAATCAATTTTATCAAAGTTAATTTTACTCATCTTTAAATCAAACACACACAAATAATATCCGTTCGAAGGGTCAAGATTTAAATTGAATGATTAATTACTTTAATTTTGATTTACAGATACTTTAACAATGTCACTAACTATTTGATATCCATCATCTCTCCCTATTATATTACATCCCTCATGGACTTTTATTATATATCTCTCTTCTCTTCTTATCTCACTCTCGAGACCTACACTCGAGATGTACCTATCCAACATTTTCTTAATGGCATCAAGCATCGATAACTGTTGATATTGAATATTTTCACCTACAGAAGACGACACCAACTTCAGTTTCAGTAGAAGCATCCCAGAATCATCTTAATAGATAATAATAACCCTATCAAATAATGCCGTCAAGTACAAAGACTGCTACGGCAATGTTCTATATGTTCGATATCACCACCAAATTTGCACGAGGGCCATTTGAAGTTAAGAGATTTTTAAATAACTCAGTTATCATAAAGAAAGTAAATAGACATCTTGCCCTCCCAACTTATTCTTTAGTTGCAATTTAATCCCTATATTTATTTACGCGTAAAAATTAATCTAAATTGACATAAAATGGATAGGTTTTAAATTCAGTTCCTAACCACTATACACAAATAAAAAGGGAGTTTCAAAGACTAGTAACCATTTCTCTACTATAAAAAACAAAATATAGTTACATATAACCAGCCACAAAGGCAAGCACATAAGAGGTTGGTGATCTTAGTTCAAGGTTCGGGCCACAATTACAAGTAACAAACATCCTTAACCAGACAGAAAGAATCCTATCATACTATGATCCCGTTAAACAAAGTAGACACCAAAGACACTTTGAAGTCCATGGGCAAAAGACGCGATTCAAAATCCAGATCACCCTTGCAAATAACATTTGCCAAAAAGATCAGTTACTGCCATGCCCTCAAACAAGCAAAAGAACATTTAAGAAGGAACTTCTTTTCCTAAGAACCCATCATTTTTTAAAGTGTTTCTTAACATTGTTCTTGTTGATTGAATCCATCGAATCCGGCCACCACCTAGGACGAGGAAAAGTAATGCCACGAAGCTTTGCAACTTCGAACAGACTAACATTATCAAGATCATCTTCATCTTCATGACTATTCTCAGAGAGAACTTTCAATAGACCCAACACAAGACGCTTCTTTTTCTCCCCATCTTCCCTACATTCCAATCCACTTGCTGCATTCTCCAAAAGACCACGTATTGATGGTGGCAACACACGCATCCCAGGTTCCACATCACGCATTCCAGAAGCTTCTACAACCCCATCACTTGATTTGTTGCCCTCAACCATGCTCCCCAATGTGTTAAAATTCGCACAACTTTTTATCGTTTCCAACTGAACAACTTTGGCTTCAAAATTCCCCCCCGAGTCCAAATGTTTGTCCACTGAAATCTCTTTGCAACAATTCATCACATTTTCCCCGACCCTGCAGGGACTTTCCCCCTTACCCTCTTCCACTTTCTGCGACTGAACGCCGAAACAATCCCCCGAAGAACCAAAACCTAAACCGTGCTCCGAAAGTTTCGATTTTTTGAGCGGCGAGTCACCTGAATCAGAGAAACCGCTTTCCAAAACCCCGAATTCCTGGAACTGAGCCTCCGAAAACCCTAATTCCGAATCCCTTCCCAAATCAACGAACTCCGAGCCATCAGAATAGGCGCAGAAATCGTGATTAACAGCGAGGGTGGCGGTGCTTCGGTTCTGATCGGAAGAGGGGAGGGAGGACTCATCAGGCGGCGTGTGTAAAACGATACCGTCTTGGGTCTCTGGTGCAGACAGCATGAGAATGCCGGGTGGTGAAGGGGTTTCGTGGTTTTTAAGGATGTCTGATCCGACAAAAGGAGTGTGGTGTAAGAGTTGTTCCTGAGAATAGGATATGTGAGAAGAGTCGATGATGAAGGCATAAGGATCGTGGGTCTCCGCCATTGCTCTTCCCAGTTCCCGCCAAAACCTCAAACTTTGAGTGTTAAGTCAGAAGAGAGAATGGCGACAATAAGAGTCCACTCTTGACTGAATGTGATGTGATCGTGATTAAGACTCGTCTTTCAATTCATTTCACTCCCACAATTGTTTTGTTTTTATATTTTTATTTTTTACTTTTAGTCTTCAAATTTTTTATAACATGTAAACCTAAATAGTAACTAAAAATGAAAGAAAAAATAATATAAACTGAAAATTATAGAAAATAACTAAAACATAAAACACAAAAAAGTCGGGATAAAAATTTATTTAAACCGTAAATCAAACATGCCCACAATTCACAACTCAAAACTTAAAATATAAGTTTAAATATATTTTTAATCATTGTATTTTATAAGTTTTATTTTAATTACTTTTGATTTTTCTATTTTAGTCTCTATATTTTTAAATTTGTCTCTTATTAATATAATTTCATAAATGAATAACAATGAAATCTTAATTATCTATGAAAAATGCTAAAATATTAAATTAAAACAAACAAAATACAACATTAAAATCTCAAAAGTTATATAAAGAATTGGAATTTCTTTCCATTATATCAGCTTTTATAAATTATAAAGTATTTTGAATATTATATAGATATTTTTAATTTAAATATAAAAATAGTTAATTTAATTTGAAATTAAAAATTATAATATAAATAAAAATTTTTAAAAAAACTTATATGTTACAAATAACTATAAACAAGGGTATATTACATCATAAATAAAATATTTAGTAAAATTATTTTCTTTGTCAGGTGTATATTTTTATCCTTAAAATTAATTTAAAAATATTTATACACTCTGTTTTTCGTTATAAATTTTAGAAATGATTTTTTTATTTTATATGAACTTTTATTTTTTTTAAAATACACTTTTTTGTATTTATAAAAAAGTTATTACTTTATATAAATTTTAAATTTTTTTTATAAATACATATTTAAAATTATAAAAAAATTATTCTCTTATATAAATTTAAATTTTTTCACATATTTATTTTTATGTTTATAAAAATTAATATATTATTTGGAGTATTCTCTATTAAAAATTACAGAATTTATTATTTTTTTAAATTTGTAATATTATAAAATAGGTTCTTATAAATTTATATTGATTAATTATAATAATTTTATTTTTAATATTAATATATCTTGTACTCTTCTTTATTTACCACAATATATATATATATAATATTAAGGTACTTTTGACATTTATATTTTTTTTAACACATAAAAATAACATATTTTATAATTAATATAATTTTTATTAATTTATTATATTTAATTAATTTTATAATCATATAAAAATTTCAACCTTTACGTTTTCTAATCTTTATAATATATATTTTATTGTTTAAGGTAATATGCCCGTACTTTATATGGACTATTAAATTAGTAATTTTTTTCTATATAAATCAGTGATTATAAAATCACGTATCATTAAGAATATGAGATTTTTAAATTTAATAATATTATTATATATTTCCTAATTACATACCGAAGAGGTTTCATTACCTTTTTAATCTAATCAATGTAGATAATAAATAAAATTTGATGTATTTTTCCCATTAATTTAACACTGAATATTTCAAAAATTAATTATAGATACATTTGTTATTAATACAAACATTTTAAATTATATTATAGTACAGTATATATTTTACTTAAAAATAAGACTTATATATAATATTTAAATATTTACATAATAAATGTGAACTTTATCTCGTTTTTACGTTATCGTTATTGAAACAATAACGACATTATCAATTAAAAAATTAGTCATATTAAAATACAACATCCGCTTTCCCCAAAGGAAATGCTCAAGTTAATAAATACTCTACTAAATTTATTTATTTATTTATTCTATTGAATAAATTTATATTTGAACTTAAATAATTTATAAAAAATAAATTTAAATTTTATATTAATTTATTATTAAATATAATAAAAAAACTCAAATACAATAAATATCTAAAAAAATACGATAAGTATCAAAAGCTATAATTATAAATAAAACCTTTTAAGTTATTACCTAATATTAATATTTATTTTGTATTTAAGTGGAAGACATATTTATATATTATTAATTTCCTTTCACTATATAGTCACGTAGCATGTCTTTATTAAATTTAAATTTTTATACTCTTTCAATGAAAAAATGTGGCATAAGCTTTTCTTAAATATACTAATTTATTAATTCTTTTAATTTTATTAACTTTTCAACTATAGGCACTAAATAACTAATTTTATGTTACTACTAAAACAATATAAATAATTAATAATATATATATATATATATATATATATATGTTATTGAAGATTTTTTTTACTGAAAATGTTATATGATATATTTTTTATTTATTTTTATTTTTTTAGTTTTCTATCTGATTTAATCCGAATTCAACTTGAGTCACGTCCTTAGATGTGGTCGATGAGTTTAACACTTAAAATTTTTTACATATTCAATAACTTGAATCCGGTACCTTACTTAAGTGATATTGAGTCACTTGCTATTCACATTAACCTTCACTAATTTTATTTTAAATTTATTGTTTTAATAATTTATTGATATTTTTATAATCCTTGTAAATTAATAAAATATTTTATGTTCTCTCACATGTGAAATAATTATAATTATTAGTTTTATATTAATAAATAGTTGAATTAATGATTTATTTAAGAATATATAAATACTCTTTAATCACTAAGATGTTACATGAATCGTCAACATAAAAAGGATATATAATATTCTCTCAAATTTACTTTTCTATAGTGTCTTAAAAATAACCAAAACATTTATACCCTTAATATGTGAAATTATTATAATTGTTAATGTTATATATATATATATATATATATATATATATATATATATATATTTCTAAATATTAATATTTTATTAAGGATAAATTTAGAGTATAAGGAGTATTCTAATCCATTACAACTTTAAAAAGAATTAATAATACATGTTAAGGGATCATTAATCTAATTTACATATACAATCAATTTTTTCAAAAGCCTTATTGCAAGCCACTTCTAAGAACAATACTTAGAGACATACTACACACAAACTATACTATTACAACTTTTCTCCATTTTTTTTTCACATTGAATTTCATACATGCTTAGTAACATCTCGTACAAATTTTAAGGTAAGCATAAACTAACATTAAACTATTAAAACTTCATGTACCACAATTTCAAAGACATAACAATGCAAAAAATGATACAATATCTCTTTGTCTTTAGTATCACACAACCCGTAAGCCTTTGAGAGAATCGTCAATTCACGTTTGGTCAAGTTCTTCCTTATCAAGATTGCATTAAGCAATAGACGTCAAACAAATACCACTACTTTCTTCGACGCACTAACCTTTTAAATCTTGTGTAAGGCCTACATTAGATCAAGCTTCAAACTATTACCTGCAGTAAAAAAAATAATGAATGCAGTGATAAATAGATTGCACATTATATTTTTTTGTCATCGTCACACTTCTACAACAATATGTCATTCACATTTTCTCTCAACCTTTTACTCTCCATAGTTTTCTATAACTGCTTTTATAAATTCTCTTCCTATGAAAATTTTCACACTCATTGACTTATTTCAAATTGTTCGTTATCTATCACCTGCGCCTCTTTATTAGTCGTTGCTGAAAACAATCTTGGGTAATTATTGATTCATCTTGAGAAGACATAAATGTCATTTAATTTTTAAGATGTTTGACAATCATAACTGTTAATTTAAGAGCAATATAAAACATTTTTCAAGTTTATGAGTAAGGTAACAAACATCTTTTTTGCATCTATTTTATCTTTACATTTTTTAACCATTTATTTTTTCAATTTTTTAATATTTATTAAATATTGTATATTAATTTTAATAATTAAATTATATGAAGCATTTTTTAGAAATAAATAAATAATTTATATTTTAGTCTTAAGTAAATTTTACATTTTCTTAAATATTTACTTAAATATTAAATAATTATAAATACGTAGTAAAAAATATATTTTTAAAATGAATTATTCTATCAATAATTTAAAGTTATTTTTTGTCTAATTGTTTATTGTTATAAATTAAATTTGAGCCTTTAATTTTAAATTATAATTTTTAATAGTTATTTTTATCCTCATTAAATCACATAATCTATTTTTATTAATTATTTATTTCCTTTTTGCTTTTACTTTTATTATATATATTTATATTTAAATTTAAAATTTGATACAATTTTAAATTAAAGATGTCATTTTTTAAATAAATTAATTGTGATATAACTTTATGAATTTTAAATTTTGACATGAATAATTTTTTATTTTAAAATTGTTTGCTTAAGTTTGGACCAATTTCCGTCGGTTGATATATTTGGTGGTTAATTTTAAAATTTTATTTTATTAATTCAGTCATATTTAATATTATAAAATTATTATTGAGGACAAGGATATTTAGTTTTAAAATTTTTTAAAAAATCATACAATATTATTATATATTATTTAAAGTATTTATTTTAATTTGAGTTCACTAGCTTTTCTCTATATCTTTATCCGAATTTAAATATTTTATTTTGTTCTTAGAATTTGTATCTTCAAAATCAAAAGTTGTAAATTTTGTGAGAACTGAGGAGTTGGGAAGCAAAGCATTGTGATATCTATTTTTGGAGTCAACATCCACTATTGTTTCCCCATTTTCTCATCCAACTATTAAAATTATTATAATATAAATATTTTTAAATTATTAATACTTTAAAAAATTTCAACAACTAAGATTTTTTTCATTTCCTGTAAAAAAATAAAATAAAATAGAAAGGATCCTTTCTGCTATTTTTTACGGGAACGCCACCACTATTAGCAGATTAACCAATCCAAATTTTTAGCTATCGTATCAAAATCCCTAAATTAACTCCTAGGTAAATCCTAACTAAATATAAAATCCTACTAAAATATAACATTGTTTAAAACTTGACAATTTAAACTTATTAAATATAAAATCTTCAAGAAAACAATGAAAAGATATTATATTAAAAACAAAATCCCAAAACATAAATAAACTGACATAGGGACCGTTTAATTCGACTGTAAAAATAACTCAAGCCATGGTTTGGATCTAATGAAATCGGAAAGGCTAAAATTTTGAAAACAAATTACAAAAATATAGGACTGAGAAATTGCTAACAAATTTCAAATTCTAACAAATTAGATAACTTCATCAATATAAATAATACGTGTCTACCCTATTTCCTTTATATTTTCATTTGTCCTATTTCAATCTTCCCTATTCAACTCTCCTAAACAAATCACAAATAACCCTATTCAGACCAATCTCTTCAATCTGAGAAAAGAATTGAGAAGCTAGTGATGGCAACGAAGAATGTCATGTTTGTCATTGGTGGACGCAAGTATAAGATATTGAAACGTACTGGATATCGCCACTTTCCAAAAGGATGTGGAGGGCCTCGTACAAGGCCTAAGATTTATCGTGTGAAGAAGAATATTCCTGGAATGACGTTTCCTCCAAGAATAAGCGTAATGATAGTTGCAGGAGGGGTTAGAGACTTTCCTCCTCTTTGTGGATCATACGCTTCACATAGCATTGAAGGTATGTTTAGACGAGAAAAAACTATTAATAATGATGTATTCTTTGTTTACTTGAAAAGAATGAACTTTGAATATAAAAAATTAAAATTTTGTTATCTGTTTTTTTAATTCAAATTTTTTATTCTTTTGCTATATTTTCTTTGCTAATGTCAACAGGGGTTCACTTTGCAGATCTGAAGTACGGGGTAAATCAACATGACTCAGATGTCAGCCTATCAGAAAAGGCAACAGTGACTGACGCAAGCAGAGTTAAAAATAATGTTAAAGATGAACCGATATTGGTGGAACTGGAAGAGGTGGCTCCTCGGCGTATTCAAGTTGATTCTGAACCTAAACCAAGAAAGGTTGATTCTGAAGGGAATGTTTTAGAGTAACTGAAAAAAATATTTTACAGATGTTATAAACTAGTTGTATTCATTAACTGCTTATTACTTTTTCATTTGCTTTCCCTTGACTTCGTAATTAATTTTCTTGAAGAACGATGATGAATATATGGGCTGTGGAAAAATTATTTTTATTTCTGTTCATGGAAAAACTAGTAATATTACTTTTGTTCTTTTTTCTTTAGTATTGTTTTATAAAATTAATAAACAATTAGTAATACTTTGTCTTGAGCACTTTTTTAAAATGAAAAAAATTATTAATTTCACCAAATAAATTATCAATATAAATTCTGACACTAAACATGTTTGTTACACATAATTTTCGTAGCTTGCAAGTGATATCTATGAGCGCAAGTGTGTTTGTGTTTTCAATAGGTAAACTATTCAATAAGAAAGAGAGAAAGCCATCGATTAAAGTGAGACTCATATTAGATATATCTTTTTCTTTTTTACTAGATGGTTCATTTACTCAATACTAATAATTATTTTAAATGTAAGCAATAGTGTGTGAAAATTAAGCATAAATTGCTTTTTTCTCTCTTTATATTTTTAAAAGTGTCTCAGCATTGTTAGGAATAAACTTAACACCGATGGTTTTACTTAGAAAACCAAAGCATTTTAATATAAGATTTTATTGAAATAGGTTATGAATATCATAAATTTTTTAATTTTTTAATTTTTTTTATATAACTTGTTAAAATAAGTTTTGTTTTGTTTTGTTTTTTTTATCGTATATGAATAAGTTTTATGGTTATATTTATACTATAAATTCCTGATATAAATAAAAATTTATCAAACATAAAGTATAGTAATTTTGCCGATTGCCATATGCAATAATACCAATTTAGTTTTAACAACATCAAGTAAATTTTATTCCATTGATACACCATGTAGTTAAAGTACATGAATCCCCATTATTTTAGTCCCATTAACAAAAGGGCATTAACAATAACATTGAGTGACAGATAAACAAATTAACGGAATAATAGTGGCACTTGTTATTTGTTGTTGGGAACCCAAAGTGCATATTTTTGTCTTTCTAATTAAGCTGAACCTTGGCGTCATAAGTAGCTCCAGGCTTCCAATTAGCAGGAATAGCAATCTTGGGGTACACCCAATATGTAAAGCCTTCCCCACCGCAATTGCCCATTTGAAACCTCAAGCGGATTTCACCCCTTGGTGGGTTAGCAAAGTCAAACACTGCCCCATAGACCCTGCGCATAGGCTCCCATCGTTGATACTCTTTCTGCACCATTCATAATATTTCAAGAATCAAATTCAATTCAACTATACATAAAAAAAACAAGTGATTCAACAGAAACACTCTCAACCAAAATTAAACTAACTAATCTACAGTTAAAGCCATTATACATAGCAAAGTTGCAATTTCAATCTAATAATTAAAAAATTGTTACATATCCTAAGAGTTGTATTTTGTGTATTAGCACAAAACATACTCAAATATGTACATTTTGTGAGTGTGTTTACCTGCAAAATTTCAACAGCAGTGACGTCGCACATTCCATTTACGTTGAGAATCAGAACAGCAAAGTAGCCAGGGTTTTTGCTGCTTTCTTGGACATGAAGCATGATGCTATGGCCATTGTATCTGCAAGGGACCCTTTTGAATTCAACGTCCACTACACCGTATTTCATCAGCTTAGAAGATGCAAATGCGTTGCGTCCCAAACTCGAAAAGGCGCGTGGGCTCATGATGAAGTCTGTTCGGTCTCCCTCACCATAGTCCGTTGCCACCACTTGAACTCCATTTGCATTGCAATATTGTGGCATTTTGCACCATACCTATTTCATCATTTTTATTTCATAAATTCACAACTATATCTAATAATATATATTTCACCATAATGTTTTCTTTTCTTTCATGTATATGTTTTGTTTCATGCGTGATGAAGCCTTGTTATATTGATCATGGAAAATAAATGAAAGAAAAATACCCGATAGCATGTACCACAGCCAGCTCCATTCCTCCATAACCCAGACACGGCTGCGACACTGCCATTGTTTATTGTCTTTCCATATTCACCAAAACCACAAGCTCCCCCTATCATATATTTAATTGGGCAATCATGTTAATTATATATTTACTGTGTGCTATTAAGGTACTATAATGTCACACTGCACATTTTACTTCTGAAAAGCAAGATAGAGGAGAAGCATGCACGCATCCTCAGATGTAAATTATATTCTTCAAATCTTCTAATTTGATAGAACGAAAAGAATTTCAAAATTTAAAATACTGTGGTTTGGTGAAACATGCAAATGTGCTTCCTGCTCCCTCTCAACATATGATACACATCTTAATTTACTTGGTGCAAAAAAACATATTTCAACAAGCACATATTAAGGGTATATAGCTAGCTAGCTAAAAGGGGAAGCTCGCTTACTTGGATTCCCATAGCCATCAGGGGTATTATAGTATGTTGCTCTGGAGTTCGTAACATATTCCATACAATTACACAATGCAGGGAGACACAGTATGACACAAACAAGGCCAAGTTGGTGCTTAAAACTGAGTTCCATTTCTAAATGACAATTTCTGATCAGGTTCAAAGAGAGGAGAGAAATGAAGCAAGTAATCAAGAGTGACCAATGCGAAAAAGTATAGTATATGAAAATGAGAGAGGCTTTGTGAGATAGGAAGCAAAGATATGGAGTCGTATTTATAGTATATAGCCAAAGTTCTAGCAACACATACCAGTGGCGGTGCAGTCCTGTTTCCCTTGGTTTTTTGTAGGCGTTCTTTAATTAAGTTAAATACTTCAGGTTCTGTGACCTGTTCACTGATTTTGAATAGCAAAATCAACGGTTGAAAACACGTTTGGATAAACACAAGATCAGAATACCATTTTGCGTTTGATGTATAATTTAGAAACTTGACCATGTTTTAAGTTTGAATCCAGCTTTGATTGAAAATTGTTTTTACTTCCTTATATGTTTTCTAATGAGAAGAGAGACTGCACCCGTATTCCCCCCACCTCATGCTATTATACCACATGCCCTATGAGAGAAGGATACACAGAATCTTGAACTATGTTCTCATATCTATAGCATTTAGTTCTGGTAGAACGATGAGGTTGACATTCCAATTGATTAAATATTTAAAAGACGTACAGGATATGTATTGATAACCTTCAGTAATTAGTAATTCTTTTTTTTATTTTTTCTTTTCAAAAAAATTATTAACAAATAAAATTTCATTTTGGTCTATTAAATAATTTGGATTTATTCATTATTAATGAAATTAGTGTAAAATTTATCATCTAATTATAAAATAATTAATAGCCAATATGTTACTGGCATTTTGTCTTGTAACAATTGACTTTATATTTAAAATTATGAAGTGTCAAAGGTTTGTTTGTTGGGTCAAAACCAAAGCCTACGAGGAAACAAGAAGTTGGTGGAAATGAGATAAGATTTAAAATGATTATTGTGCAACTAATTATTATAAAACATTATAACTTTAACTTATTAGGTGAGGTGAGCTAATTAATTATTATAATTTTAAAAAATTATAATTATTTTAATAATTTTTTAATACTTTTAGACACGATATAAATAACAAGCATCAAATAATAAAATTATTTTTAATATTGTAATATAAGTAAATAGAGGAAAAAGAAGAGACAAAACAATTAAAGTTACTTATCAGTCAAGGTTCCACACAGATTTAGTATCTAGCTAGGAGCCTACTTTCCCTATGATGAGTCACATGCAGATTTATTAATTAGTATAAACTCAACAAATTTGTAAGCAACGGGGGTCGTGGTCTGGATCAAGTCAGAGGGAATTATCTTAGATTGCAGAAAAGTAGCGACGGCGATAATAATAGTTATAGTAACACAAGTTAACATTGTTATTATTGTATTTTCCGTGTTGAAGGAGAAAGCTTCCCAAATTCCGATAGCCACTTTGAAAGCCAACGACAAAAACGCCGAAGCAAATCCCAACATCTTGAGTGGGGTTTGATTTTTGTGTTAATATGGCTAGAGACGTCAAAATGAATCAGTCCGTGATATTCAGTAGAGTTGGATGAAGATTTGGCTCGGAGCCAGATCCACGAGTGAAAATCATTTTAATTGTTTGGAGAAGTGTTTTTTTAAAGTCAATGTTAAACTTAGTTATGTAAAAGTTATTTTTTTGGATAAAAAAATTCTTGTTAATGATATGGACCAAAATTATTAATGTTTTAAAACGTAGAAAATAAAATATAAACACAATTTTGTAATAATAAAAGTTAAATATATTTTAGAAGGACTAAAACCATTCTTTTATGATTTTAAAGAAAATACATTAACAATGTAATTTTTTTTTTTTATAAAATAAACACGTTTTTGTTTATATATATGACTCATGATACGGTTGGGTGTTAAAACTTAAACTTACGCTATTTAATAATTTATTTAAGGAACGTGAGATTGATCAATTTAATTTATTTTATTGATTTAAATATTTTTATCAAGTAGATTACTTTTATGAAATTTTACATAAAAATAAAATTAATAAGTATTTCATTATGTTACTTCATTTTAATAAATATTATAATTTTTAAAATATAATTAAAATTTATTTTTAGATAATCTACATATAAATATTTAAATTATATAAAAATTAATATACGTGATTATATAAATAATATAAAAAGATTTAATAGTTTAATCGATTAAATTTTTATTTTATAAAAAATTATTAAATGATATAAGTATATAAATTATACACTAAATTCTCTACCAAGATAATAAGGTAACAATAAAAAAATCTATTAGAGTAAAAAGTTAGCATTCTTGGCGATTATATATTATATTTACAAGAATCAAACTATAATATAGGAGCCAAAAATAATCATGAAATATTTATATAGACCATAAGTTTTAAGGAATCAAATTTATGGTATAATGTTATGAATGTTATGAAGGATAAGATAGATTCTATGGTATCTAACAAAGTTTGGAATCTCGTTGAAATGTCTGGTGGTATAAAAGTCATTAAATGAAGATGAGTCTTTAAAACAAAGAAAGACATACATAACAACATTGAGAGATATAAGACAAGACTTGTTGTTAAAGGGTTCACTCAAAGAGAATGAATCGATTACAAGGAAACATTTTATCCTGTGTTTAAGAAAGATTCTCTTCTAGTAATTATGGTATTGTTAACTCATTTTAACTTTGAATTACATTAAATAGATATGAAAATAACATTCCTTAATGATAATTTAGAAAAAGAAGTTTACATGAAACAATTTGAAAAATTCTTCTCAAGTAACGATGAACATTTAGTTTACAAGCTTGATAAATCCATATTGGATTAAATCAAGCTTCCGTCTAATGGTATTTTAAATTTCATAAAGTTATATTTTTATTCAGTATTGAAGAAAATATCATGAATCAATGTATATATCTGAAGATTAATAAGAGTAATATTTGTTTTCTTATTTTATACATGGATGATATTTTGCTTGCGGCTAATAATAAGTATATGCTATATGGGGTGAAACTGTTTTTTTTCAAAGAACTATGATATGAAGGATATGGGTGAAGTATCTTATGTCATAATATTAAGATCCATAGAGAAAGATCTTGAGACATTTTGAGTTTGTCTCAAGATACCTATATTAATAAGGTTTTAGAACAGTTTAACATGAAAGATTGTTCACCAAGTGTAACTTTTATTGTGAAGGATGCTAGATTTAAATTGAGTTAGTGCTCAAAAAATGACATTGAGTGGGAACACATTGAAAAAATATTCCATATACTTTAGTTTTTAGAAGTCTTATGTATGCTTAGATTTGCACTGAACTTAACATTGCATTTGCAGTTAGAGTTTTAAGAAGATATTAGAGCAATTCATGTGTTAACCATTGCAAAAGTTGTAAAGAAGATAATGGGATATTTTCAAGAAATAAAAGATTACATGCTCATATATAAACGAACTGATGATTTATAGGTAATTGACTACTTTGATTCAGACTTCGGTAGTTGTATTGATACCATAAAATCAACATTCGGCTACATTTTTATGTTAGCTTGTAAAGCTGTATCTTAGAGCATTGAAGCAAACCTTGACTACTACTTTCAATATAGAGGATGAGTTCGTTTCTTGTTTTGAGGCGACTTCACATGGTGTAAGGTTGAAGAGTTTTATATTTGGACTTAGAATTATTGACTCTATTTCTAGGTCATTGAAGTTATACTATGATAACTTTGCTATAGTATTTATGGTTACTAATAATGAGAGTGGAAGTCAAAGTAAATACATCAACATTAAATATTTAGTCATAAAAAAACATGTTAAGGAAAAGAAAGTGGTGATTGGGCATATTACAACTAAGTTAATGATTGTCAATCCTTTGATTAACGACATGCCACCAAAGAATTTTAAGGATCATGCAGTATGAATGAGACTTGATTCTATGATGTGATGATCATTATAAGGTACTTTTATTATTTTTATAACTTTTATTCGACTTTGATGTTTCTCATTTATTTTGTGCACATATTTTTTAATTTACTTTGAGAAATTTTATGTAATTTTAACCTTGAGTAAACATGTAATTTATTTATTAAGTCAAGAGTTGGTGTTAAGAGACTTGATATATTATAATACATAAAAGATAATACTCAATTAGAGAAATTGTCACTATAATTCATATACTTAATTTCCTAATATGGTTACTAATTTTCGGAGACATAATCTGATATGTGATATGTCTTTTTCCATTATCCATATTCTGATTTGTATGTAAAGGTTTTGAATTTTGCTGAATTTTCAAAATTTTGTTAGCATCTCCATGTTTTGAATTCTGATAGATATAGCAGTATAAATATTACATATGCTCATTTGTTTTAGGTTACAAAATCTACTCCTCTGTTAAAGAAACAATACTATTGTATTATGAGTGAGTGGGAGTTTAGAAAATCAAAATTATATTTGTGGGGGTTTGATTTGTAATGGCTAAAAATTAGTGTTTCAATTTAATTTTGCTTTCCCTTTTTATTTATTTTTGTCTTTTCTGTCTTGTTATTCTCCAATCACGGTTACATTTCATCCCTTACCTACATATTATTATTCTTGATTTTCAAAGCAAAGCCTTGAACAACACTAATAAAGATGATTTGTCTTGAAAGTTTATGTTGACAGATGAAAATCTGCGAACCTGAGTTGAACATGTTGAAAATAGACATACCTATACCTTGCTTTCTACTGGAATTCAACTTATATTTAATTAAGAGATAGGAAGTTATATAAAGATTAAATTCTTAATCATTTAATTAACCTCAAATAATTCTAGTCCTATATCAAGAATCGGTTGTTCTAAAACTTAAATTGTGAGCCGATACTAAGATCACGAAAGATTTGTATTAAATATTAGTTAAGCTTAATTAGGGGTCTTATCCTTCAATTCCACTAAGCGTTCGATGTCAGAGTTGTAATGAATAAAATAATATTGCTTTACGTGGTTGAATCACTGTATTCAATATTAAGTGTATTAAGTAACGTCCCTTTGAAATATAGTAATTTGTCGATTGCCATATGTGTCAATATCAATTTGATTTCAATAACATCAAGCAATTTTACTTTATTCATATTTCATGTAGTCTTAGATGGAAAGTACACAAATCCCCATTATTCTAGACCCTTTTCACAACAAGGGCATTGACAGCAACATTGAAACTAATAACGAAGAAACGGAATAATACTAGTGTTTAATTATTACTTTTTGTACTCTTTTGTTGGGATCCCAATGTGCATATTTCTTTCTAATTAAGTTGAACCTTGGCGTCATAAGTAGCCCCAGGCTTCCAATTACTAGGGATAGCAACCCTCGGGTACACCCATTGGTTTGATCCACCATAAGTCACTTGGAACCTCAAGCGGATTTCACCACTCGGTGGGTTAGCAAAGTCAAACACTGCACCATAGACCCTGCGCAAGGCCTCCCATCGTCCATTCTGCACCATTGACAACATTTCAAGAATCAAATTTAGTACAAACCACAAGAGGAGACAAATTTAACTCATTCCTATAAGTTAGTTCAAGAAAAGAAGAATAAGAAATCATATACTAAATTTTACAAAGACTATGATGATCATATTCCAAACCAAACATCATAATAAGAAGACATGTTTTTATATACCTGCCATAACTCAACAGCAGCGACGTCGTATTTTCCATTTACGTTGAGAATCAGGACAGCAAAGTAACCAGGATTGCTGCTGCTTTCTTGGACATGAAACTTGATGTTGCCAGGGTATCTACAAGGAACCCTTTTGTATTCAATATCCACCACACCGTATTTCATCAACTTTGCAGTTGCATCTTTGTTGCGTCCCAAACTTGAGAAGGCGCGTGGGCTCATGATGAAGTCTGTTCTGTCTCCCGCACCATAATCTGTTGCCACCACGAATGCTCCATTGTCATCACAGTATTCTGGTATTTTGCACCTTACCTGAATCATAATCATAAATTTTTATTTCATAAATTGACAATTATTAGTGCAAATACTTTAGATAGTTTGATAAGAATATTTTGTGACAATGATGAAACAGCTTTTGGTTCTACCAAGGATGATTAGAAATATTGATTATTGAAAAGAAGGGAAAGTTAAGTACCTGATAGCATGTGCCACAGCCAGCTCCATTCCTCCATAGCCCAGACACGGCTGCTACACTTCCACTGTTGATCGTCCTTCCATAGTCGCCAAAGCCACAAGCTCCACCTGTAACATATATCAATTGGTCAATCATGTTTATTATACTTGCATGATGCTGTGAAGGTGTACTGTAATGTCACACTGCACATTTTACTTCCAAAAAGCAAGATAGAGGAGAAGCATGCACCCATCTTTAGATGTAAATTATATTTTTCAAATATTATAATTTGATACAAGGAAGGCAATATCAAATTTCAAAATACTAAGGTTTAGTGAAATATGCAAAATTGCAAATGCTCTTCCTGCCCCCTACCATCCTAATTCATAGCCAATAAAGTGTAAGCAAATGTATAATTGGTATAAACAACATAGGGTTTGTATATTTTACAATTGAAAAATCAATTCTTGAATTTTTCAATAAAAACACACACGTCATATTAATTTATGCGATGTCTCAATCAACGGCTTAAATTAATATGGGTTGCTAGCTGCTAGAAGAGAAAGCTCGCTTACTTGGAGTCCCATAGCCATCAGGGGTACTATAATAGGTTGCTCTGGAGTTTGTAACATATTTCTGGCCGTTACACAGTGCAGAGAAGAACAGTATGACACAAACAAGGCCAAGTTGATGCTTGAAACCGAGTTCCATGTCTAAATGACAAATTCTGATCAAGTGCAAAGAGAGGAGAGAAATGAAGCAAGTAATTAAAAGTGACCAATGTGATAAACTATTGTATATGAAAATGAGAGAAGCTGAATGAGATAGGAAGCAACGGTATGTGGATTCCTATTTATAGTACAGCCTTAAGTCTTATTACATATACCGACGGTGGCATAGCCCACTTTTTTTTTTTTCTCACTTTTGTAATGTAAAAGGATTGGAATGATGATGTGTCGAGATAAAGCCCAACCATATTGACCTCTGGGAAATCAGGCCAGGGTCCTTTCTTGCAAGAGACATGCAATATTCTTCTAATATTTCATCCTACTATTAGAAAAATATAAAAATGAAATGTCTTGTGAGAGAAAAAAATTAATTAATATTTTTTTAAAAAATTCATTAATTAAATGAGAAAAATACTGTTATTTTAATACTTTATTTTAGTGGCTATACCAGACACTCTATATATTAAAATGTATTTATATAGTTAGATAAAATAACAAGTGCGAAAGAAATTTAAATTTTAACTTCAGTCAATTTGAGGAAAAAAATAATATTTGAATTTTAATCTTAAAATTTAAATATAGAAATAAACTATTTTGATAAATAGTTTTTGAAATTGTCTTATTGCAGTTAAAAAGCTAAGATTTGTTAGCTGGAAGAGTCAGATGATATATGTGATAGATGAAAGAGTAAGATAATATTTTTCTTCTTATAATATTCAAACCGATTCACTGTTACGGGTGAAAATATGTAACCTTTTTTGTCTAACTATTCACTCGAACGATCCATGCAGTTGCAAGATAGAAATTTTAACCGAAGACACACACATTAAAAAAGAAAAAAGAACTCTGCTAGATACTCCTTTTATTTAAATTATCATTGCACCCACTTTCCCTTGTTTTTACTTGGCATTTTTGTTCTGTTCAATATTTCAGGTTCTGTGTACTGTTCACTGGTTTTGAATACCAAATTCTTCGGTTGAAAAGATTTATGAATGCACACGCAAGAGCACTATTTTGCATTTGATGCATAATTTAAAAATATGGACATATTTTAAGTTTGGGTTTACTCTACGTGAGAGTGTTCATTACTCCACCCTGTCCTGTTCTCGAGGTAGGTAAATTTTATATACAATCTTCCAAGTTATGAGCGAAATATATACATAAAATCTTTAGTTATGTTGGGATATCCACCGTGTCCTGAGGTTGATTTTACGATGGTTTGAAATCTGAATGTAGGAATATTCAACATGTTGATAACCTTGAAGAATGATAATAATATATAGAGTGTTTAAAATTATTTGAACCCCGTTTTTTTTTTTAATTTATTATTGCGTGAAAAATTCTACTAAACCACTCTTTATTAATATAGCCGTGAATGTTGAAAAGAAAATATGAAAAAGTATATAATTTATAATTGCTAATGTTTTTCTTCAATAACCTTGCGCTTACCCACTAATGCATAGTAGATTTGGTTTTTATTATGTTAAACCTGTGGTTTAATGTTATTAACGGCAAAATGTTCGATTTTTGGGTCAAAACCGAAGGCTATGAAGAATAACAAATTGAAGGAACCTTCAACCCATACACGTTAAAAAATTCATTGCATAAAAATAGAATCGGTGATGACGAAATGATAATAATAAGAATAATAATGCTACGCATGCAAGGAGATGGAGAAGGTTTCTCATTAATCTTCCTTAGTTTCACGCCAATGACATATGGACAGAGAAATTAAAATCTCAAGTAGGTGGACTGTGGTGCTAAATGCTAATATGTGCTAGCTGGCACTCTGTCGATTTCTCATGATTTTAATTTAGAATTTAGAACAGATGGGTTGATTTTCAAGCAACTTATTGAATTTAGAACAAATTATTTAATTTTCAAGCAGGATCGACCTGTTACAATGTTTTTAATTAAATAATTTTTTTGCCAATTTATTAATATTTTACTATTTTAAAATTATTTTATATAGGTAGACTAGCTTGGTTAATTTGCATTGTCCGGTAGGTTAATTGACCAGTGGCTTAGTTCCTTATAGAATTTAAAGGCTTCTAATTGCGTGATCGGTCCCTCAAAGATAGCAACTCTATAACAAACCGCAATTAAAAGGCTATTTTTAAAGAAAATGTTAAAACAAGCAGCCATGGATCATAGACCTAAAGTGGTGATTAAATTCGTTTTTAGATTCAACTTTAAATAATCATTCATGTATTTGTTTTTTGCTTTGAAATAATCTAAATCTACGTTTGCTCCACAACAGTATTATTATTGATAGTACATAAAAACTGAACACGCCAACTTATGAGAATGATCAAGATCAAAATATTCTCAAGTTAAGGATCATACTCCATCATTTACATAATTTCAACGTGGATCCAAGAACTAAACCAATATTTTCATAGCATTGATCATCTCATTATTTCAGGAAGCTCTTTGGGGTAGACTGAAAACCCATCTTGAAGAACAAATTCCCTTCAGTTTAAACAATCGCTTGCAAAAGAATCAGTGGGTTGGCGAAATCTCTTGCACGCCTTCGTGAATTTTTGAGAGCTAACACATAATATTTGAATAATTTAATTTTTGTTACAAAAAATATATATCAATAGAGAGAATTTATTTTCGGGGTAATATGATGGATGCCTATACAAAATAAATAAGCATAGGCGTATTCAAAAACCAAGTACAAGCTATAAACAAAGTAAACAACCCTATATTTTTTCACATATCCATCGTCTTGAAGAATAATGGTCAAATACGCAGCAGATAAGTCAAAATATGCGACGGAAGAGGAGGAATGAATGCCAAAGAAAAGTGAAAAGATTGTGGGCACTTTGCACAACGCTGTAGAATGGAAATATAGCAGGCATCTTGAGGTGAAGCTATGTTGGATGAGTATGGGTATGGTACCCGATGCAGATACGTGTATGGAACATGGCAATTTTTTAAAGTTAAAAATACGGGTACGTCACTAAATTGCTTTAAAAATATCTGTAATAAAATATTTTAATAAAGAAAAAATATGAGAAAATGGTGACAAAAGTATTATAATCTATATATGTACTAGAAAATTTTGTTTTTTTTTTTTAAAGTTCTAACTTGCACTTAAAGTATAATTAGCTATAGCTTAAATTATATTATTTAATTACGTTAAAGTCATATTTACGTTACATATAATTATTTTAAAAATAATTAACTTTAATAAATACTTCAGAATACGTAACGTGTGGGTAGTAACCGGTATGTACTAGGTACAAATACGTTTGACAAAATGAAGTACCCATGATCCGGAGAGGTGGAGTGTAGTTACTGACCTTGTACTTGTAGAAAGGTCTATGGTCCACCATTTGAACAAGTCTATATTTGACGTTCGTAATTGGAAAGGTGCGAATTCTCGGTCTTCTCTTTTGCAAACTCCATTTCTCAAAAATTATTATGCAGCCATACTGGAACTTAAGCCTCCTATTGTGCGTTCTTCAATCCGAATTACTACTTTTGCCAAAAAAAGCAAAAATTAAGACCAATGTTTTTCCGTTCCATTTTAATCACTGTAGATGAGAAGGACTGGTCATGGTAATAACTAATAATATTTATCTCTCACTTGTTTTATTTCTATTTATACGGTTTCAATTTTGTCTTAAGCTTAATCGATAGAGATAGTGGTGAAAACTAAAAACTACCTGAGCTAATATGGAGATTCTCCCTTCATTATGTAGCACATTCGTGTACTGTTAGTGATCTAAGATACCAAGTATGTAAACAAATTGCATTAGTATCCTTATTTCGGTCCTTCAATGATCAAAATCATGTCCACCAATTTGGAAGTTGCAACAGTTTGTTTACCCTCATTTCTAAGCTTTCATGCATTCAATTTTCAGAGAATATATAAATAGCTGGGCCTCTAATTGTCAAGGTCATTAGTGATGAACTCTGCTTTGTTGTCGTCATATTTCTTTAGAGAAAGTGATCCATAGTTACAGTTTGGAAATAAAAAAGTTTTCTATTTCAGTTGATGTCGGTGACTTGGTGGTTAACTCGTACAATTTTATTGGCCATTGATTAATTTGGTTAAATTAATAATTTTCTTGCATTTAACCACAAACCTACTAAGCATTCCTGATAGAATCACACGTCATTATCCCTTTTCTTTTACTTGCATGGAAGCACGTGATAATATCCTTGGTCATTGCCCTGCATTGCCGATATGTTGAGATTTTTTGGGAAAAGAGGGAAATGTTATTCCCATTGTTTCCACTAGCTTAAGTGTTAGTGCTGGAAATTAATCTTACACAAAATGGAAAGAGAATTTTTTATTCTGTTCTTGAAATGTATTACATTGCAGTATTTATACAATAATTTAGCAACAATATATGTTATAACATACCTACTAATTTTAATAATAGCTTCCCTCAACTCAATTTAAAAATAAAAACATGAAAAGAAGTGAAATAAAAGGGCTTAGTGAAGGGAGCATCGAGTTGAGAAGCAGAGGAGTCGATAGTAAACGAATGAGATCAACTTGTAGTTTTTTTTAACAATATGATAGTTGATTTTGATATGTTTGGTTCGTTCAGGATTATGAGCCAAGTAGATGACTGATTTACTATCACAAAAATTTGAGGCAAGTTAATGAAGTGAAATGTGTAAATTTTGTAATAAGTAATTGAGCCATTGAGCTTCAAAAGTGATGCTGGCTGAAGCTTTGTACTCAACCTCTGAAGAGGACCTAGAAACAGTAGACTGTCTTTTAGATTTGCAAGACATTAAGGAGGATCCAAGCATAATGCAATAGCCAATAATTAATTTCCTCGAATCCAAGCAGCAAGCCCAACTAACACTTTAGAATCAACAAATCCAAACAACTTGAGCTCAGAAGATGCTAGAAAGAATAAGCCTTTAGCAGGGGATGCTTTCAAGTATTTGAAAACTTTAGTTGCTGCCTTCAAATGAGTGTTAAGGGGTCTGGAAACAATTTGACTTAATTGTTGCACAACCAATGAGATATCAGGTCTAGTGTTAGTAAAGTTTAGCAACCTGCCAACTAATCTTCTATAGGAGGCTTCACCAGGGAAATGGTTTCCTCTGTTAGATTGAAGCTTCGTAGAGGGATTAAAGTTGGTTTGACAATAAGAAGTGCATTGTATTCCAACAATTCAGGAGTAAACTTTCTCTTATTGAAAAATATTCCAGCTTTTAGATCTTCCTATATCAAGTCCAAGAAAATATCGAAGAGGACCCAAATCCTTGATTTTAAAACTTGGATCAAAGAACTACTTAACATTTGTAATTTCAATTATATCATTACCTACCAAGACTAGATCATTAACATATATTAGAAGGACTATAATGGAGAAGGAAGTGGACTTAAATGAAAGTGAGTGATCAACGTTAAATTAAATTGTTGATAGATAGGGGAGTAAAGGGATATTAAGATCTTGGAATATCATTGGCTGCCGGCTTGTTTTAAGCCATGTAAGGATTTGTGCAACTTATAAACCTTGAAAATACTTGTGACTTGAAGATCCTTGTGCAAGTCTCTATGAAGAAATGCATTTTTGACATGCAATTACTCGAAGAACCACCTTTTAATTGCTGCTAAAGCAAGAATAATCCAAAGAGAAGTGAGTTTTGCTATAGTGAGACAATATTAAGGTAATCCACTCCTGTCAATAATAAGTATTCTTTAGAATTAATCGTGCCTTGTACCTTTCACTGGTTCATCAATATGATATTTCACCTTCTAAACTCAATTGTAGTAGATGGGGCTTTTTCCTAGAGAAAGATCCACCATAGACCAAATATTATTTTTCTCAAAGGGTTGTATCTCATCATTCGTAGCTTGTTGTTAACAATTTAATTTTGCTGCCTAATTATAAGTTTTTAGTTTTATAATAGAGGTTATGCTAAAGCAAAAGTGTTTACAGAAAAAAGAACATTTATCATGGAACAGAAGAAATAGACTCAGTAGGAGTACCTAAATATGATTTGGAAGAGTTATTCGGAGATATACTACAATGATAGTCAACTAAATAGTTTTGGTTTTCTTCTGATGCTGCTTGACCTTTTTAAGGATGTATATGTAGTGCTAAATCCCAAGGAATCTTAGGATAAAAGTTTTAATAAGTTTGTGTGCGAATTTTAGTAGAGTTAATGTTATTAGTATTTTATTTTTTTTTTGAGTAATTGTTGGTTAATTGGACAAGTGAGAGTTATGAGAAACAAGTTGAAGAATTTTATTATCAAAGTGCACATGTTGTGAAGTTGAAGAGTGAAAAAGGAAAACATATTTGTAAAATATCAAACTTTTGAGAAAACATATTTGTAAAATATCAAATTTTGAGAAACAAAAATTTGGTGTGATTGAAGGTCTTATAAAACATAACCTTTAATCCCTTCATTTTATCCTATAAAAATAGTTTTTCCTACTCTTGCTTGACACTTTGTTCAATAAGATTGTAGAGTACTTGTATAGCTTAAGTAACCAAAGACTTTTATGCGAATTAAGCTTGGTGGTTGATTATATAAACATTTCATAAATAGTTTTATTACGGAGCAAATGACTTGGAAGTTTATTAATTATATAAACATGTTAGACAGCAAAGTTCCAAAAGTTTGAAGGGAATTTTACTTGATGAAATAAGGCATGAAAAATATTAAGAATATTTTGATGCTTTCTTTTAACAACTAAATTTTTTTTAGGGGTTTCAACACAAGTTCTTTGAATTATTATTCTTTGGAGAAGAAGAAATCATTCAAAGGAAATTTATTTTCATTATCATTGCAAAGACATTTTAATTTTGTATCAAATTGAGTTTCTATATAAACAATGAATTGTATTATATGTTGTCTAGTTTTTGTCTTATTCATTATTAAAATAACCCAAGTAAAGTGAGTAAAGTCATTAACTAGAGTAAGAAAATATTTATGTCCAAACAAAAAAAAAAATGTAGCATAAAAACCCTAAATATCAGCATGTAACATTTTATTAGAATGTGTAGTACTACTATAATGTGACAATTTTCTATGTCTTTTCTATGTCTTTCTACATGACACACATCACATGGAGTCTTAGTTTTACAATAAGGAATGAAAGGATATAGTGTAGAAATAATGTTCAATTTAGAATTTGATATATGTCCTAATCTAAGATACCAAATAAAAGAAGTATCATTACTGCTACAGTCCACTTGTCAATTTAGTTAAACCAATCATCCTCTTCGTAGAATTCTGCTAAATGGCACATGAATTAGCATGTAAAATCAAATGATATTGCAATGAATTGAGCAATTTTGTAACAAAAATCAAGTTGACATAAAAGTTTGGAATATAAAGAACATCATATAGGATTAAGGAGTCTGACAAAAGAATTGATTCCTGAAATTGTAATAGAAACCTGAGAGTCTTTAGTAAAGTAACGAATATTGCAAGAATTTGTTTTTGATTGATGAGACTTTTGATATAAGAAGTAATATGATCAGTTGGACCTATGTCAAGGAGTCAATGTTAGAATTACCTTGTGAGGAGGAAAGAATAATGTTTACAATAGAAGCAACATGAGTATTAAAATTTTGATTAGATTATTGCAGAATATTTAGAATGTCTTGATACTGTTCTTCAGTAAAGCTAATTCCCGATCGTGTATCTTCTTGGAGAACATCACCATTATGCACAATGTCCAAATGAAAGGTATTGTTGCTAGCAACATTGACAGATCTTACATTTTGTTAATTGGTACTATCGAGGAAATCCATGTTTGAAATAGCAAAATTAGATAGTGTGATTTGTTTTGCTACAATGAATACATGATTTATTAGAATTATGTTCTCTTTCCTCATTGTTTCTACCCCTACCTCTGTTAGAGGAACCTCATCTCTTTTAAAAGTCCCAACCATTAAAAATACCTTATTAATATTGGGTAAAGGATCAGTGAGAATTATTTAGGATTTGACATGAGTATGCTGCTCATTCAAACCCTTTAAAAATTGTATCACAGTCTTTGCAAGGGGTAAAAACTGAAATCTCTCATTGTTTGATTTGGGCCATGTTTTAAATGACAATTGAAGTTACATTGCAGTGATTGAAATTGTGGAAACAAAATGTGAGAAATACACTCGATGATCTAAAAACTGTGGCATTAAAATCATGATTCTCAGCCAAGAGGCCAAAACCAGTGTTAATTAAGCCATAATCTTGGTTTTTCTTTTCTACTCCGTACCAATGCTGTAAGTATCCAATGTTGGAATTATTAAGAATTAATTAACTAATTAATGAAGGCTTTACTTGGCTCGATCAAGCCATTCAATCAGTATCAGTTTAATTTTAACAGTAGCAATAGCAGTCACATATCAATAAGGAGTAAGAGTAAGTATCACATTTATTTTATTCAAATTCAACGTAGTCTAACAAATGGAAGTACATGAATCCCCATTATTTTAGTCCTCAATACAAGAGAACACTAACATTCACCCAACAGCACACGCTAACATTCTTAAGAGTGACACTAAAAAGAAAAAAATTGAATGCTAGTGCCTATCTATTTCTAATGTTCCAGGGATTTCAACATCCTTTTTTCTTTCTAATTAAGCTGAACATTGGTGTCATATGCAGCTCCGGCCCTCCAATCACTAGGAATAGCACTCTTGGACTGCACCCAATAAAGCCCTGCACTCCCACTCACTTGGAACCTCAAGTAGATTTCTCCACCTGGTGGGTTCGTATAGTCAAACACTGCTCCAAAAGCCCTACGTAGGGGCCTCCATTCTTGGCAGTCTTCCTGCACATTCACCACATTTCAAGAATTAAATGCTGTACAAAGTAAGTGAATAGGATCACTCTCAAAGTCAATAAAATAAAATAATCTTTAGGCAGCTAAGCCAACATGCATGCAAAAATTGACATATCAATCTAATGATTTATAAATTGTTATGTTGAGAATTGTATGTATGGTGCAACCATATAATATATATTTTTATTCTCTATACTTTTATTTTGATATATTTTGCTGACATGATCTAAAAAAATCGACATGTGGTCTTGCGTCATTATTTAAGGGAATATGTATATTATACATTACCTGCCACATCTCAACGGCAGTGACATCATATGTTCCATCAATATAGAGAACAACGACAGCAAAGTAATCAGGGTTTTTGCTGTGTTCATGGACCTTAAACACGATGTTATAGCCAGAGTAACTACAGGGGACCCTTCTGTATTCAATATCCACAACACCGTATTTGAATAGCTCTGCAGAAGCGTCTGCGTTGCGTCCCAATCTTGAATAGCCACGTGGACTCATTATGAAGTCTGTTCTGTCTCCCTCACCATAGTCCGTTACCACCACGTATGCTCCATTTTCATCGCAGTATTGTGCTATTTTGCACCTTACCTGAACCATCACTCATCATCGTTTATATTTGATAAATTAACAGCTATCAGTAGAAACAAATACTAGGCAAATTTTTTTCAAATAAATATTTTGTTTCAATGATGATGAAGCTTATTTTTACTAAGGGCTATTGGAAATATTGATTACGAACAAGAAGGGGAAGAAAAGTACTTGATAACATGCTCCACAGCCACTTCCATTCTTCCATAGCCTAGACACGCCTGCGACACTTCCATCATTCACGGTCCTTCCATATTCGCCAAAGCCACAAGCTCCCCCTGAAATATAACATCAATTTACCGTTCATATTATATTTGTTATGTCATGCTGCAAAAACTAGTATAATGTCACATTGCTACAGTGCACATTTTACTTCTATAAAAGCATCCTTAAGGAGGAACATGCATCTTCAATTCTAATTACTAGCTTGCAAAACAAAGGTGCTTTGTATAAACAATTTATTTGTATTAAGCACGTGTATGGGTAGGTAGTAAAAAAAAACACTGACATGCGATTAAATTTTAAAATTTATGAAACAAGTTACTAAACTTTGACCATATGTCGTATGTTGATAGGTTAAAATATGGATGGACACGACTATGCAATAATTTCTAATATGTAAGTAGTTGGCCAGAATGGAGGCTCATACTTGGACTCCCATAGCAATCAGGGCTACCATAATATGTTGCTCTGGAGTCGGTAAAAGAGTCCTGTGAGCTACATAGTGCAGGTAAAAGTAGTGTGACACAAACAAGGCTAAGTTGGTGCTTAAAACTAAGTTTCATGTTTGAATGATAGATTCTAAAGAGTAAAGAGGAGGGAGAAAATTGATGAATGACGAGTGAAGAATGCAATGAAGTTTATGAAGCAAAAATGTTTATGAACGATGAAGCTTTATGAGATAGCCAGAAAAGATATATGGGGTCATATTTATAGTGGTGTGGCCTTTGTCTGGATGGCACTGGTAGCAGCCCACTTTTTCTCCCACTTAAGGACTGTGGAATAGAAAAGGATTGGAATAATGATGTGTACATGGAGACCTTAATTGGCAATATTGAATCCTCAGGGTCCTACATATAATATTCGAACTGATTTATTATTACAATGCTAAAATGCCTAACTTTGTTCCGTTCAAACAGTATTCTGGGAAAGTCCATGCACTTGCCTCTCCACTCTAAATTCAGAATCCAGATACAAATTTTATTTTATACATTTTTTGGAAGCCAAGATAAACTTTTTATTCAAATACATGTACTCAAGAATGACGATGGATAAAGTTAGAGTAACATACTCCAATATTCATTCTCATATTTGTGTTTCAAATATTTATTCGTCCTTGTGTTTATATTTACATGAGTAATACTTCTTATCATCATTTTCATACTTTGCAAGTACTTCAATAATTTTACACATCTTCATTACTCATAATTTATTAACTATTTTCCACGAATTAATAAATCATAAATAATATTATAAAAATTATTTACTAAAAAAATATTAAATAAAGTACAAAATTATAAATAATATTATTCATCCAAAATTAATATAATAGGGTATGTAATTACAACATAAACTTATTTTAGATAATTTTTATCTTTTTACGTTAATTTTTCATAGAGAACTTTTGAAAGAAGAAAGCTCATATTTTTCGAAATTGTAAAACAAGCATGAACTGTACTCTTTCAACGAATAAAGAGGTTAGATATGAAATTCTTGATAATTTCGTTTAAAGAATTTTGGATTCAAGTCCTAAAAAACTATAGTGTTGAATATTGGCATAAGGTATTTAAACAAAAGTAATAAGTAAATACTGATAAATAGATTATAAATATATCTTCTTAATAAAATAAATTATTTGATGTAAAATTTAATAAACTAGTTAGTAATTTGTGAAATTACACATGTATTATATATATATATATATATATATATATAAAATTAAAATAATTTTATAACTACAAATAATATGTATCAAAATAATAAAAATTAAATAATTTTAAATTATAATTTATTTTAAAATAAGTATCAAACGACTTTTTAATCAAATATCAATAAGTAATATATTCTAATATTCATAAATTTAAGAGAAAAAACACTTAAAAATAAATTATAAGTTCAATATATATATATATATATATATATATATATATATATACTTAAGTATAATAAAACATACATATGAATTTGTTTGTATATTTAAAACAGTTTTTAAGAGTTACAAAATAAAATATTGCTAATATATGGTACTTATCTCAGAAATAAAAATTAAATAAGAAAAATAAATACAAATAGATTAAAAAAATCAATTTTTTTTTATAAAATTACGTAGAAAAGAACATGTTATTATTATTATTATATGATAAATAGATAAAAAGAGTAAAAAATATAGCAATGTTAGAAACAAAATTGTTATAGTTAATTAAAGAAATTATTGTAAGATATTGTATTCAAGAATAATACAGAGCTAAAAAAGATAGATAAAAGTGATGATTGCTACAATTTTTAGCAAAACAAATTATTATATGCACACAAAATTTGAGTGACGGTATTGTAAATAATGCACTAAATATTATGAATTTTATAAATATAAATATAGGTATTTATGAGAAATTTTAAAGTTTATATGAGGTAATAAAAAGTAAAACAACTTGTATTTTCATAATTTAAACATAAATGAATTGAAAAAAGTAAGTAAAAAGTAAATTAATTAAAGAGAGAACAATCCACACTTAATTTTCAATTAATTTTAATTAAATATATGTGAGTAATTATTAAAAAAAGTAATTCTACTGAATATTTTATTCTCCGTATAAAATATTCTATTTATAATATAAAAGCTAATAACTTTTATATGTTAATGAAAGAGAAAATATTCTAACATAAATACAAATAATAAGCTAGAATCTACTTAAGCAAATATGCGATTGATTCAAATTAATTATTTATAACACATTTTAATTTTTTTTAATAACAAATGTGTGAGATAAGAGTTATTTAAAAAAAACAACACTTAAAAAATCACATTATTGATAATATCAATAAACATATTATTCACATAATTAAAAGATCACCAAAATAGTATTAAGTTTCAAACAACATTGATAAAGTAATTAATAATGTTAACTATATTTATTGTGTTTAATTAATTATATATTGCATTATAAAAAATAAAACCATAATAAATAAATATTTTTTAATAAATAAAGTGAAAATATAAATGACTATATTAAAAATGTAATTTACTATGAAATATTTAATAAATTATTTCAATACTTTTTTTTTATCATAAACTCACTATCGTTCAAATTTTTAAACAAGAAAAAATCATAAAAAATTATTCATTTCTCTCACCTCTCGCCCATCTTCCTCTATTGAAATACTAAGTAAATATTTTGTTATTCTTTGAGTTGTTTGCTAATTTTGAGTTTTAAAATTCTACAATGGAAGACACTGGGGAATAGAAGCACAGAATCCGATTTTAGCATTTGATGAATAAGTTTAAGACTTGCTCCTTTTTTTTTATTATTTGATATGACTTTTTTTGAAAATTATTTTTACTTCTTAAGTTGCTTTCCAGCTTCTTGTTTGTTACTCGGCGAGCGTGCACAATACCCACTGTGTGCCCTAAGGATGAGGAAATTTTACGTAAAATTTTCAACTATGTTCGCATTTCTACAGCATTAAGTTGTGGTTGAATGAATGATACGAAATTGACTTTCCAAATTCAAATTGATTAGAATCAGAAAAGACAAAGATTGGACATATTGATAGCCTTTGAACCAACACACTAATGTATAGTTCGGATGTTCATCTTGTTGAAGATTGGATTAATGCTATTAATTGTCAAAGGTTCATTTGTTAGCTCAAAACTACGACTACTTAGGAAACAACAAATGGATTGAACCCTAGTCAACTCAAAAACAACAAAAGGGTTACGTAAGATTTGTTTACTTCTCCAAATTAAAATTGCAAGATTTGAGTGATGACTGTAGAATTTACTTTTAGTTTCACTTAATTATAGTTATTCCATTAGATACTTCTATACTTAAACAATATTTGAATAACTGAGACATCAAACAATCTGATTAGTTTGAATGTTACTATGCATAAACAAAGATTAGATGAAACAACATAAAAAAGAATAGATGGATGAAGAAACGTATAAACAATCAATGTTTATTATTGTCCAAGATTCCACGCCCACTAAGATATGTAGCAGCCACGTTAGTTGTAACGCACCCACAGATTTCATTACTATGAACTCGACAAATTGTAATTGAATTACTTGTGGCTGGTTCAGGTCAAAAGAAAGCATCTTAAATTTTATAAAATGTGGTAATGGTGACAATAATAATAGGTTTCTTCATTTGTGCCTCTGCCGCCGAGTTATTAGCTTGACAAGTAGAAGCAGAACTGTAAATGGCTTCCATCTCTAGAATTTGTGTTAATCTGAGTTGGCCCTCTCCCTCTTTAAGTTACATTACTATGCCTTTCATTGATTAATCTTCAAACACAGCTTACATAAGAGGAGAAGTGTTACTCTCTCTTCCTTTTTGTTTATCACTTTAATATTTTTATTAAAGTTGTTATATAAATTTTTCTAAAATCTATTTTCCCTTATTAATTAGTTGTTTTTATTTTAAATTAAAGATATAGTTAATAAAAATAATCAATATTATCATAAACTTTTAAAAGGACAAATAATAGAAACAAAAGTTATCTTGAAATATGACAGATAAAAAATGAAAGGAGTGATAACATTCTTATTAAAAATAAAAATATTGCTCATTAGATTTTATTATGTTTGTATATTTTGTATTTATTAAAATTAAATTACTAATATAGAAATTATAATTAAATTAATTAATTAATATATATATATAACAATAATAACATGATATATAATAGTATATATTATTATTAATTTCATATGCTAGTAAAATTATTTATCAATATTATATTATATTATAATTAACTTAAAATAGATATTTATATCAAGAATTTGATTTTTATTGCACAAAATTTATACTAACACCATGGTTAACAATTAAAGACTCATTTGTTTAAAGTTTTCACTCTGATATAATTTTAATGATCGAAGTTTACATTCTGATGATATAAAATGGAAGGTACAAAAAACTATATGTATGAAAATGGAAGGAAGAAAATCTTCTTTTAGTAAATGGTAGATCGTGTTTGGCTCTCTAATTACAACTATTCGATCAAATGTCGTTTGTTTTATAGTAACAAAATTTTGCTTTTCCATTTTGATTAATTGGAATTTGTATTGATGAAAAAATAAGTTCTAACCCTTATTTTAATATATTATTTATTATTAAAATAAAATTGATCCAAGTGTATTAAACGATGTGACTCTCATCTTTATTTAACGAATTTTATTTCTTATTTATGAAACTTAAATGAATTTAATTTAATAATAAAAACTATACTAAAAATTTGTTAAAAATATTATCATTAATGCTTTTGTAAATAAATAAATAAATATGTCTTCTTTTAAGTTTTGGGTTGTAAACTAGAACATTCCTAGGAAAGTAAATACCAGCTTGATCATGAAAAGTGTAGATCTCTACATCTGGAGCGATATCAAACACATATAAACCCCAAATATTTTAGTTTTTTGAAATTCTTATAATTTTTTGTTTATGTGTGAATTAATCTGCTTAACTTGCGTGATTAAAAGGTTATTTAATTAAGCTAAAATATTTTTAACAGTGCACATATTATATCCTGCTAAAGAAGTTAGATGATAAATAATAAAGACTAAAGACTCATCATCATTCTATAAGGATTGTTATTTAATTTAAATGGTCACTTCAATATTTTCTTAAAAAATTAAATACTTTTTATTTGTCTAAAATTTGTAATTATTTTTATATAGCTCTTTGTTTCAAATGATTTCACTCTAATTTCTCATTTTTATTTAGTCTTTTCATTAGCAATTTGTTAACTTGCTACATTATTTGTTTATATAATATCTGTAATTTATTTAATTAAAACATGACATAGATAGAATGTGTTATTAAAAACATAATAAATTTCATATTTTAGAACGATGTTTTAGATTATAAATTATAGATCACATGAGCATATAATAGAAAAAGTTAATAAATTCTTAACAGAAAATCATATATGAATTTTGAAAAGTAAATAATTGATTAAGTGATGTAAATTAAAAGAAATCAGAATAAAATAAAAGTTGAGTTTTGGATGATTACAGGGAAAGTTGAAGTGACGGATAGTGATCCAATGAGCAATATTTGAATATATTGGAGTAGGTGCTTCTAAAGCCAAACCGTCCATGTGGTGCCTCCTTCCTCGTTACACGAAGCTACCAAGAAAGACAATGCTCAACACTCAGTTGCCTCTACAAACACTACTAGGATTAGGATTTATGATAGTGCTTTTAATATATTGTTTTTTAGTCTCATTTTTTTTCCTCAGCTTTTTAAATAATTGAACTTAAAAGAAAATAATTATTTCATAAAAGGGGAAAAACTTAGATGAGTTTGTTTTAAAGGGTCAACAAATTAAGATTTATATAGTTTTAATTTAATTTATAAAAAAATTATTTTTTTATCTTATTTATCATTTTAATTTTTTTAACAATTTTTTCCTAAGTTACTTTTTATTCTCATGTTTCTCTTTATTAGAGATTCATTAATTTTTATATATTTTTTTGTTGTTGTCGTCGTCTGTCTACGTAACATCAAACATAACTCATGCAATATGACATGAAATTAACAAGATGTGAATGATGATATATATATATATATACCTTATTTATTTCATATTTTTAAATTTAATTTAAAATATTATATTCATATAACTTAAAATTTTATTTCAAAATATAAATAAAGAGAAGGATTTTCTAACATCAGTATAAGTATAAAAAAAAATTTATTCAATTTGAGTTTTTTTATTTAACTTACGTCTCACGATTAGTGAAGTAATAAATTATAACTCGTTATATATAAATTAAATAAAAAATTTAAATTAAGTATAAAAGTTTTGAGACTTACACTAGTGTAAGAAGATCCTACCCCTATAAATAATATAACACTATTAATAATATTTTTATTTATATTATATTTTAATTAAATTATGTGTCAATTTAAAAATTTTATGAAAAAAGTAGTTAATATTTCAAATTAATAAATAGTCTCAAATTTAAATATTTAAAAATATAATTAAGTTATATACTGGAAAGTAAAATTTTTTCATTCACATATATTCTACCTGACTCAAATGTATATAATTTTAAAAAAATCACAAATTTTTAAAGAATCAAAATCTTATTTAGATTTTTTTTAATTTTAATGTACATTAATTAAAGTAATTGTTTTTTCATCTTAATTTACTTAAAAATGGTGTTGTCTTAATAAGAGATTAGAAATGAAAGAAGATATGGTTCCTTTTGTTTCCATATGGGTGAAAAATTATTTTTATAAGGTAATTATTACGACATTTTATTTAAATTTTTTGAAAACAAATAAACAATAGAGAATAAAATAAATATATGATATTTATACATATCAAATGAAAAATTGTAATATTTAAGTAGAGCAACCAAAAATAAGCAAAAACAACATTTGAGGAGAAAAAAGTTTACAGTAAATAAAAAATTTATATAGGAAAGAAAAAAGTATACAATAAATAAACACGATATTTGAGGAGAAAATAAACGAAATACTAACACAACTTCTCGTCAATCTTTTAATCTTGTACAAGGGTAGATTAGTTAATTAAAAAAGTCTGACTATCATGCACATTGAATATTAAGGAATAATATTTATATAACTTTTTTTTTTCAGAAGAAGAATTCCTTGATAATATATTTATATACTTACACGTATCATTTTATATATTTATAAAATTTTAATCTATTTATATTTATATAATTTACATCACTTGATCAAATCTGACTAACTTCAAAACTTAGAAAGGTAATTCAAAATAGAGATATCCCGGGAAGCATTAAAGTCATTAAGGTTTCTTTTCTTTTTTTTATCTATCTTTCTTTTTCTTCTAATAAAATAGGCTAAAAAGTCTAAAAGAAACTACACATAACTCCTAAAAAATCCTGTGCTTAGAACATCAAGGCACAAAAAAGAAAGCAAGATAGTAGAGTCACATTAAAATAAGGGAAAATTAGCTCTTCTATACCTAGTTTAGGAATGAGATTAGACATTTTATATGAGCCTAATATCCTATTTATAGTCACTTTAGATCCAAACCACTTTATAACCTTTGTTTAGAATTATCTAAATAGATGTTCCATAGCTCAGCTTCTATAGGGAAGTAAAGGTTATTTTTTTATTAAAATTAGATAAAAATTATCTTTTACTATCACGAACTAAGCTTTTACAAGTAGTTTCACTTATTTAGGTGGATGAAATATCCATTTAACATAGTCTTATCATAGACCAGTTGATATAATTAGCTTGAGTAATAAATTTATTTTTAATTTAAAACATGTATTTACATCTTTAATTTAAGTAATTTTTATTTAAAATATTATTATTATCTTCTTTAATAAAATTAATAATTAAAATATTTAAATATTTTTTAAATTGAAGTAATAATAAATATACGAAAGATAAAAAAATACTTATATTTAAATAGTAAATTTAAGTCATTATTTTTTTATAAAAAATAATTTTAAAAACTATCTTAAATGAGCATTTTTAAGAATTATTATCTTATTTGTTATGTCACATTATTTCTCATACATTAATCTTTTTTCTTTTGTTATTTTTTATTCCTTACAAATATCATTTCCTTATTATAATTTCAAATATAATTTAAATTAAATTTTAATATACTATGTTAAATTAAAAATTCTCTCTAATGAATATTGATTTTTAAAATTTTTATAATTGTAATCAATCTTAATTTAAATGTATTTAGTTATTAATTTTTAACATGTTATATTAATAAAGATTAAAAATATTTTAAATGTTGATTATTCCATTTTTTTATTTATAAAATATTATCTCTTGAATTTAATCATCTTGAATATTATAAAACTTTTATTATTAATAATAATAAAATTTTAATTTATAGAACTTGTTCAAATTTAAAATAATCATATAATATAATTTTTGCTTTTTATTAAAACAAATAACTTAATACTTATGAAGTACACAAAAAAACTACTAGTTTAATTTAAAATACTTATTCAGTTTGTATATTCTTTTAATTATATAATTGCATATTTTGACCCAAAAAAACTAGCATAAAGCATGTTTAATTTATATTATTTTTATTTTTAAAAATAAAAAACTATTTTTAAAATAAAAAGTAAACATACTCTTATTCATTAGCTTTAGTTCGTATGAGTGCCAAATTTAACAATTAATTACCGACACCCAATCAACATCAACGTACATTCTCATACATTATTTGATTTGCTAAATGAAAGAAATTTATGAAACGAATCTAATACTCAGTATACCTAGTGAAATAAAATGTATCTTTATAAAAGCTATATCCATAAGCTTTCTTCCCTTAAATATATGGAGGCCAGAGTGTGTTAATGCTATCGGCACCAAGCAAGGTCTTCTTTTTCTCCAACTCTTAAATTTGTTACTGTTTAAAATCTGATATATCTTTTTTATAATTTTCGCTAAACATTGCCATTAATGGTAATGAGTTTAGTTCTTGTACTGGAAGACAAAAATCTATCACATTTTGAATTAGAATGAACCCGAATACAATCATGTGTACAACAGAATCCAATCAGGTGTATTACAAACCAAGTAGAGGTAGATCCTATGGCCTATTGTTCGGAGAGAAATATAATCAACGGTATTAACAATGAGACTCTAATGTCTGTCCGTTACTCGCATGGACCAGGGCTTAGCACAGTTACACAGTTTGACTGTTGATCTTCTAGATCTTCCATTCCAGCTATTTTTTATAATAAAGAATTTATTAAGAAAGAAGTGTAAGCTACAAGAGCAAGAGAATAAGAAATCCTCAGAAATTATATCAATTCAACACAAATTCCTCAAGAAATATAATTTTATTGGAGCAATTAATATGTTTACAGCTGCATCATTTTACTGTTCTTGCTACATGTAATGTACTATATTTATTTTCAAACCCCTTCCTCGCTTCTCATCCCAAACAACAAACCTGAATTCCGAAAAAGGAAACAAGAGGGCTACTGTTCAAAAAAACTAATGGCCATAAATTTTGATAATACTTTTTAATGAAAGATTTCCTCTTTTGATTCCATAAACATTTGCCAAAGCATTAAGCCAAGTGAATGGTAAAATTGTGACAACAGGTTCACCTAATTGACCACCGCTAACTTCATATGCATTAAATTACTGGGCATCACAACAAACTAGCAAAATAATAACGAAGAACCATAAGATTTTAAAATATTTGTTGGTTAAAAGGGAACAGTTACTCTTGTCGTAAGATACATTAAATCAATTTTGAAGTTGCAAAAGAATGTAAATAAATAATGACTCAAAATGTACATTACCTGAAAACTCCAAGAAAATAGCAATTTAACTCAAACAGTCAAATAAGCCGTGCCTTTTTAAGGTCAGAAACAACTCCATGATCTTCAGTGCTCCTCTCATTGTATAATACCTGCAAAAGGACAGTTACTTTTTCTTTTTCAAGGCAAATAAATGAAAAAAAAGAAAATGTCTGATGGCAAGTACCTTATCTATGATTCCATACTCAACAGCTTCACTAGGGGTGAAATACTTCGGACGCTGAATATCAGCTTCAATCTGCTCAGGTGACATTTTAGTATGCTTTGCATACAATTTAACCTTGAAAAAATTACAGTGTGATGTGAGTTGCTACAATAATTTTTCAGTTAGTATACAATGGGTAAAACCTACCACTCATAAGAGTCCATTTTAAATAAAAAAAAGATGTACGAGTCATTGTTAAGCTCAAATATAACATGAATTCATAATTCATAATCCCAAGCTTTGTGGTTGAGAGAAGCCAACAAATGTTTGGCTAGTGCTCAACAACTGATATTTTAAGGAGAATACAAACACAGAAGTATGCATTGGTCCTCATAAATTTACAGATAACAATGATCAATTATAACTGAAACTTAACTAAAGAAAAATAGATTGAAGTACTTACCATTTCTGTCTTTAAATTATTGACTTCTTTTCTCGCAAGGTTAACATCTGTTGCTTGACCTTGAAACCTTGCTATTGGCTGCAAATTGAAAATTAACCAAGTTAACATGTTTGGATAAAAGATCCCCAAAAGACATGATAAACTAAGTAAAGGAAGCGATAGATACAACAACATTCATGTGCTAGCACCCAACAACTTGAACTTGTATAGTTGGTTCATGACAGTAAGACATTGTCGAGAACATACCTGTCTTATCATTATTGTTGATGATGGTAAAGAAGAACGGTTTCCCGGTGCACCAGAAGCCAAAAGTAAGGCAGCTTCTCCCCAAGCATTACCAACACAAAGAGTAAAAATAGGAGGCTTGACATACCTGTAGCAGAACAACATAGCTAGGTTTACAAAAACAAACTTTCTATGGGGAAATCTTGAAGTTGTGAAAATGTTATACAGTAAAAAGTCAATGTCTTCTCTTTAGGGGTGGGGTTATGCACAAACAGTAAAAATAGCTGTTCCATTAAAAAATATTTGGCATCCTGTACATTTAAAATATAATACATATTAACATCATATTGTAACATTCAAGGGCAGAAATATTAATCCAGAAAATGAGGGAGAGAGACAAGGGATGCAGATGCAGTACATCAAAACTTGGGAAAAATATTGTCAAATACAGATTCAGCATTTAGGGACATCATAGACAGAGTTCATGATAAAACAAATCTTGGAAATTCACAACAAACTCTAAACTGGGTCAGTTGACAATGCTCAGAAAACACCACCTTAAGAAAAAGAGTTAATTTAGTTATCTGACAGTCAATTGAAACCCTTGATATAATTTAGGGATCATCAAAGGTACCAAACAAAAGTCAACACCAGCTAGATAATTACTTTCAATGGAAAAATACCCAGTGCATATTATAGGCAATGCCACTCAGACTGCTGCCCTACAGAAGAGAGGGACTTGTGCAGGTTTCTACTTATTAACTAAAAGCAGAGTTGCAGTACCCAGGTAAGCACTCCCAACCCAAGGACTTCTCCACCGTACAACTTACCACATGTGATGTAAGGTGAAGCAAAGAAAATAAACAGAGAGTAGTTAAACTTCTTTTTCCCATTTAAATGCACCAGTGTAGTATATAGTTTAAAAGCCCAACATACGTAAGAGAAAGAAAACAAATGACACGACTACAGAAAGCATAGTGATAAATTGATAATAACCTCATCACATCATAAATTGCAAAGGCCTCAGTCTCATAACCCAACTTCTCACCTCCCTGAAATAAGGAAACAAAGTTCGATTAAACAAATGGATGTTTTCAAGGAGATAGTGGCACCATAATTCTTGAATTTTATGAACACTATTTACAGTTATGAAGTAGTCAGAAATGAAAGCACTATAGCATAACAGTTCAGATTGATTCATGTAGCCACCTCCTAGTGGAATAAGGCTGGGTTGTTGCTTCTGCTATTGTTGTATATGACATTCTCATAAATCTGGGTGGCTTTGTGCTCATAATTCAACCTTTACATTTGATACACGAAAAAACATAGAACTAGTTTGGATAAATATCTCAACAAACACTTATAGGAGAACAAAATAAAACGAATCAAACTTCTTGCATAAGTTAAAATTAACTTATACACCTCAACTTTTCAGAAGCTTCGCTCATTTGAACTTAACAAATCTTGACATTTTTGCCTTAAAAAGGCCTTAACAGTGGGGTTTTACAATTAAAAGGCCCCCATGAGCCAGAAACTAATCCAAACTGGTACTAGCATAGGCTAGGTTAGACCCCTGCCCAATGCTTGCACCTGGTACTAGCATAGGCTAGGTTAGACTCAGCTCAAGAGTTGTAGCTTCTGTATACTATATCTCAATCTACTGAGACCATGGACTAGTGCATTCATCAACACCTCTATTCACAAGTATTGCTAGTGTGCATGTTTACAGGAATCACAACAAAAAAGCAACTTTCATAAACATTGTGCTTATCACAATTTACATCAATATGCATTTCAAAAGTTGAGATTCCACATCCACTACAAATATGATCAAAATAAAGTTTATAAAGGTTTAATCAATCCTCACATGAGCTAACTTTAAGGACTGAGTTAAATAAAGCCCAGATTCAACACTGTCAAAAAAATAAACTGTCACCAAGGATTTTCCTGGTACAATTAACCTATGGGTCCTAACCTTGTGAATTTTCTAATGCAACCTACCTGCACCTGCAGCTTTCTCAATGTAGGATACATGGTCCCCCAACTTTCTCAGTACAGTAAAAAAAAAAAAAAAAGCTCTAATATCTCTCTACACTCCAAATGTTCAATCCTAAGCATAAGGAAAGTGTGTTCAGATCCCACATTGATTATGGATCTAGCCAAAGTAGAGCAAATCCTTATCATACAAGTTTTTAGGGTTGAGTTAGGTCAAACTTAATTTTAAAATGGTATTAGAGCTGTTGAGAGAGAAAATATTGAATCTGTGTGTTTAGGGCATAGCGGAATTATTCCAATGTATAGAGAAGAGTAAATAATTACAAGATATACAGTTACTATATTTATAAGATTTTAACACTCCTCCTCAAGCTGGAGCATATAGGTCATATGCACCAAGCTTGTTACATACGTAGTTAATCCGAGGACCCCTTAGTGACTTAGTAAAGATCTTTACTAGTTGTTCATAGGAATTGACAAAACTAGTAGATATTTCTCCGGATATGACTTTCTCTCTGACAAAGTGACAATCAACTTCAATGTGCTTTGTCCTCTCATGGAATACTGGATTTGAGGCAATATGCATAGCGACTTGATTATCACATATAAGTGACATGTGTGACCTCTCCAAACTTTAGTTTTTGAAGCAACTGTTTGAGCCATATAAGCTCTTGACTCGCTATAGCCATAGCTCGATGCTCTGCTTCCGCACTGTACCGGGCTACAACATTTTGCTTCTTACTTTTCCAAGAGACAAGATTATCTCTGACAAATATACAAAATCCAGAGGTGGACCTTCTATTTACAGGAGATCCTGCCCAATCTGCATCAGAATATCCCACAACTCGAGTGTGTCCTTTGTCTTCATACAAAAGACCCTTTCCTGGAGCTCCTTTTGATGTATCGAACAATGTGAATCACTGCATCCCAATGTTCCTTACATGGAGAGTTGAGGAATTGACTTACTACACTTGCGAATGAGATATCTGGACAGGTAACAGTGAGGTAGTTCAGCTTTCCTACTAACCATCTGTAACTTTCAGGATCTAGAAGAGGCTCCCCCTGATTTGGCAGGAGCTTGACATTGGGATCCATGGGAGTGTCGACTGGCTTAGAAGTTAACATTCCTATTTCTTCCAAAATATCCATTGCATACTTCCTTTAGAAAATGATGATCCTATTTTTGGACTGTGCTACTTCTATTCCCAAAAAATATTTGAGTTTGCCAAAATCCTTTGTCTGAAAATGTTTGAAGAGGTGTTGCTTCACCTGTACGATGCCCTGATGGTCACTACCTGTGATGACAATGTCATCAACATAAACAACCAAGTAGATGCAACCGGTAGGGGAGTGACGATAGAAGACAGAATGGTCAGCCTCACTCCGAGTCATGCCAAACTGTTGAATCACAATAGTGAATCTGCTAAACCATGCTTTGGGTGACTGCTTAAGGCCATATAAAGATTTTCGCAATCGACATACAAGACCAGAGGACTCCCCCTGAGCAACAAAGCAAGGCAGTTGCTCCATGTAGCCTTCCTCAAGCAAATCACCATGTAAGAAAGCATTCTTGATATCCAACTAATAGAGAGACCAATGATGTATGGCAGCAATGAATAAGAATAGTCGCACAGAGGGCAATTTGGCCACAAAAGAGAAGGTGTCGCCATAATCTAACCCGAAGATTTGAGTATAGCCTTTGGCAACGAAACGGGCCTTAAGCCGATCAACCTTATTGTCTGGACCAACCTTGACTGTATACACCCACCGACAATCAACAACTGACTTCCCTAGTGGTAGAGGAACGAGGTCCCAAGTCCCACTGTTCTGTAATGCACACATCTCGTCTAGCATAGCTTGTTTCCACCCGGGATGAAAAAATGCATCACTTGCACTTTTAGGAATAGAAACAGAGGACAAGGAAGAAAGGCAAGAATAATAGGAAGGAGAAATACGATGATAACTTAAAGAAATATAATGAGGAGAAGGATTACGAGTAAAACGTATACCTTTTCGAATGGCAATGGGAATGTCAGATTCAGAGGGCGGGACCGGAAGATGAGGCGAAAGAGGTGGCTCTAAAGGTTAGTCCATGGTGTTGTCAGTGCTCGGTGGCTCCAAAACAAGACGAGTACGACGCTGATATACCTGCAAGGGTGGAGGAGACGGGTGTGGAGGCGATGGAGACGTCTCTGGAGGACAGAAAAGGATTGAACTAGGGGCAGTCGTGGACGGAGAAGACTCGAGTGTAGATGTTCTAGGTTCAAAGCATGGAATGGACTCGAAGAAAATAACATCAGCAAAAATGAAATACCTGAGAAGAGTAGGGGAATAACACTTGTATCCTTTTTAAGACTGTGGGTACTCGAGAAAAACACACTTATGAGACCGAAGAGAGAGCTTGTCAATGTCAGGACCAAGATCATCAGCAAAACATGTAGAACCAAAAACCCGAGGGGGTAAAGGATTAAGAGAGTGGTGGGGTTATAGAACTTGATGAGGGATTTTACCTTGTAAAACAAAGGAAGGCAGGCGGTTAATGAGATAATATGCAGTGAGTACCGCATCACCCCAAAACTGATGAAGAACATGAGAGTGGAGAAGAAGAGTCCAGGTGGTCTCAAGTAGATGCCTATTTTTTCGTTTTGCAACTCCATTCTATTGGGGGGTATGAGGACAAGATGTTTGATGTAACACACCATGTGATGCTATAAAAGTGTGAAAAACCAAAGCTGAAGAGTCAATAGGAATGGGAAGCAAAGGCTCAGAGGAGGATTTGGGGGGCACACGGAGGAGGGTTGCCCAGGTACTGTCCATAGTAGCTTCTGTGAAGCTCTTCAGGATCTGATCACGAACATGAGAATATTATGAGGGCAGACCGTATAAAGCCAAGGACATGAAAAACTTCTTGCGATTGTCAAGTTCTGCATCTAGAGTGGCAGCTGGAGGAAGCAATTCATTGAACTCACAAAGAAGGCTTGATACCGAGTCAAGATAGGTCGACATAGAATCCTTAATCTGATGGGCACTAAGAACAGTCATGAGGTCTTCACAAACTTGATAGAGTCGCCGAGAATTATTTGTAAAGAGTTGTTGGGCTTGTGTCCAAACAGCTTTGCAAGTTTTGTGAGTGCGAAAGACATCACGAAGAGATGGGTGAATGGTGGCTCCGATGATACAGCAAAGATGGGCGTCAACCTTTTTCCACAAAGGACGGTCGGCCTCTGGGATGTCATTTGCTGTTTGGGTGAGATGTGTCTCATAACCCTGTCCGACAAGCCAAAGTTCAACGTGAGAAGTCCAGGAGGAGTAATGCTCACCGTCCAACTGCTCAGAAGAAAGAGGTGCAGTGACATGGTTGGTAAAAATCTGGGTATCAGGTTTTGAAGTGCTAGAGGCAGCCATTGATCAGTGAGAAGAGAGAGAAAATGCCCAAACAGCAGCAAAAAAAGCAAAACAAGGGGGAATAAATGTCCAAACAACTAACTGAGGCCGAATACAGGTAGAGGAGAGAGGGGCAAGCAAACCCAGTCGACGGCGTCAGGAAAGGATGCCGGACGCGCCGTCACGTGCAGAGAGAGAAGGCAACGCGTTAGAAAACTTGAGGAAAAGGCGGCGCGTGGGGGCGCGTGAGGGCTCCGATGAAGGCGCGGTCAGCGGGGTTTGGCCAATCTGACAAGGGCGATCACGACAGCGGGGTTTTCGCAGTGATAGGAGGTTGGACAGCAGCAGCAGCGACGGCAGTGCCGGAACAGTGGCGGCGGTGCCGTAAAAAAAAAGGCACCAGTGAACAGTGGGTCCACCAGGAAAGAAAACGTATTAGGGTTGCCTCTCTAGACTCTAGATACTATGTTGAGAGAGAAAATATTGAATCTGTGTGTTTAGGGCACAGTGGAGTTATTCCAATTTATAGAGAAGAGTAAATAATTACAAGATATATAGTTACTATATTTACAAGATTCTAATAGATTCTAACAAGAGCATATCAAAGATCTGATATTAGGTTACCCCTTGAGTTAAAATAAAAAGATCAACCCGACCTCACGGATTTTTCGAGCGCAATTAACCAAGGCACGAGGAAGGTGTGTTAAGGTCCCACATTCACTACAGATATGACCAAATCAAAGTTTATAAAGACTAAAGCAATCTTCACCTTGTGAAATAACTTTTAAGGTTGAGTTAGGCCAAATCCAATTTTAAGATAAAATAACAAGATTAATGATTAATTATGTCTTGCAATTTCTTGGGCTAACATTAGGACAAGCAATTGAAAAGGGGAACCCCAAAAGGATATTTTTATCAAGGTGCATCACAGTAGGGAATAATATTAAAAAACAACCCTTATTAATTCCTAAGATAAATGCATTTACATTTTATTTTAAATCCAAGTTTATTTCCAATGAAGTTGCATAATCTAATATATCAGATATGCACACAACCTAGATTCCTCCCTCTTCATATTCTATTCCCTCTTACAACACCTCATCCTACATCCAGCAAACCCTGTTATATGCACTTCAGTCACAAGACAAATGTTTAAGATAAATCAGTATACATTGAGAAGTGAGAAGGCCTATTTCTCATGGAGAAGACAATATACTAGTCTGTAAGCATTGAGAAATATTACTTACCTTAGTTGTCCCAGTGGAATTTATGTATAGGTAAATAGGCTTTTCATCATCTTCAAATTGAAGGTACAGAAATTCAGCTAGTATCAACTCAGTGACAGATGGAACAAGAGACATGCCCAAATAAACAATTCGATTTTTGAACAAATACGAAGCTAGGTCTGGTGGAGGTTGCTCCTCTGCACTTCCTCTTGTAAAAGGAATAACCTATCCAAAGACACTAAAATGAGCATCAAGCCTGCAAAAGCGGTATGGATTGGGTTGCAATGTGCCATAAAAAATGTACATATAAGTATACCACTTATTTGCTTAATATATAAATCATGCACAAACAACTTTATACTTCAAAAAGGAATCATGTAAGTTATGAAATGAAACACTGCACAGCGATGACTAAACAACTTGTATATAACAACATTGATCTACATACATCAGTCTCTTTTTGACAAAAGAAAAACAAAAAAGAACAATGAGATGTGTACTTTAAACAAAGCATCAAACAAAGACAAATAAATTAGGAAAAAAAATAAAGTACTCCATCCTCTCCACATATCCACAGAAAAAACCCTGAAGAAACTGTCCACTGACCACCAATAGAACCCCAGAAAAGAAAAGAAATTCAATCCCATATCAAGTACAAGGAAAAATACAAAGAAATCTAAGAACAGTTGTGTAGCAGACTAAAATATACTTTAACCCCCCTTCCCCCTTCCCCCATCCCATTGTGCCTAAACATCTCATACAAAATAAAATAATATACCACAATACAAACTTAAGGCACGCCACATGCCCAAGATTGCCTTGGGTAGAGGAAATTTATACCAAAATTGCAGATCGGTTCTGAGAAGAAAAGCGTTCAAATTTGCATTTTTCCATTTTATATTGATTGATGTAGACTACTTTCAGTTGATGGCAAGATAAAGCATTTATGAATTTCAGTTCCTGGCCTCTTCATTTTGATTTTGAAAAGATGTCCATTGCTCTGGCTGAGAAGATCAGTATCTTTTATGCCCAAAGAAAATGAATTGAGGAGTCAAAAACACATGACAATGAACGCCTTTATAAAACAAGTCAGCAACTTTATTACACACCAATAGCTCTTTTCACTCAATACACTCTTGGCATCTTGGGAATGCCCTTTCTAGCTCAGGAAAAGCATGCCCCCATCATCTTATTCATAAGAGTAAAAAAAATCCACTAACAGTCCATCCATCTAACTTTGCTGGGGGTAAATGGAGTAAAAATAAACAGACTGTAAAAGAATTACTAGTTGTCACCCATTGGGATTCTTAGCAGCTAGCTAGTAGTTTAGGGTTTCTGAAAATTGAACACCATAATCTTTTACTAGTACATTGTGATCACAGAATGAGTAGTTAATTTATATGGAAAATCAATGCAAGAAAGTCAAATATTTTACTATTTTGTTTTTATTATGTTGACATTTTTCTTCGATAAGGTGTGCGCAATGCACTTTTTGGTGCCTCTGCTTCAAGCATTAAGGTGGCACGAGGTAGACATGCTAGAACAAGACAAAACATAAAATACGAGTTCTAATATATGTTTGGTTTAAAAAATAAAATAGAACAAAACACATGATTGAAAAATGGTATATTTTGATTCCACTAAAAAGGGTAGAACCAAGGAGAGCAATAAAAGGATGTTGTATTCCATTCTATCCACACTCCAAACACTATCTAAAACTCCATGGGCCTTTAAGGTACTTTTTTCCTTTGACTACCTTTTACAGGATGTTTGGAGGAATTCCAAATTTGATATGGAATTCATTCATTTTATGGTTCAAGATGTTATTGTTGAAGTTAGTATAGGAACCCAATAAGTATTCAGGTGATCAGGTGCGGTGCCACATTATGGCTAAGGGATGGCTACCCCAAAAGTTTTTCAAATTATTTGGGTTAACTATAATGAATATGGTTAGCTACGCCAAAACTTTAATCTTGTTCTTTCATTGATCTTATAGCTTGCCTACTCAAAGAAATATTTTCTAGTTCTGCTTCAGAGAAAGCTATTTCCGATAAAATGTGATTAAGATTATTGGCATCAACTATTCACAGATAAACTTAAAATCCCCGGTTTGCATCCTGCACAACTCGGTTCTAAACAACCTTAGCCATCACCAAAACCATCCCACCTCTTTTTCAGTGTATACACAACTCGCGTCCAAGTTGTATAAATTACATATCCCAACCTTTTTTCCGAGCAAAACAAAATCTATAAACCCTACAACCTTCTACGGCTTGTTTATAAATTTAATGTTTAAAGCTATAAATCCACACTCGAAATTGTTACAGTATGTATAGACAGTTGATGTGTATTCACGCCAATCTCTTATCCAATCCCAAATCAGTAATAGAAACGGGAATGTGAAACTTCGAAAAGAGTTAAAAGAGAGTACCATAGTAACGACCCCCCGTTTAGGTTTGGAAGCAGGAAACGACGCTGGATTGAGGGACGACGGTCGGAGCTTGTGGCCAGAGAAGAGGGAGGAGGAACTGCTGATTCCGGCGAGAGGAGCAACGAAATTGGTGGAGAGAGAAGTCCTGAAGGAAGAGGAGGAGTTGATGGCTCTGACAGGGGTGGGGGTTATGGTCCGAGATGAAGAAGGCAATGCCATTGCCAACATTGGCTTGTTTAGTGCGAAGCTAGAAGCTGTGGTGGCAACCTCCATTGTCAATCAGAGAGTGAGAAGACGAAAACTAAGCCACTAAGCCAAAACTTTTAAATGGGTATCCTTGGGTTGGGCCTCTTGGATTATAGCCCAGTCTAAAAGATTTTTGTCTTCTTGGATCACAGCCCAGTTTAATCTTTTTGGGAGTTTTTCATTTCACAGTTACAGCCTTCCCTTCAAGACGGATACGCTCATGCACGTTTATATTTTGTTTGACCCAAAAAACACAAGATATTTGCTTATTTAAACATCTATTATTGTTGACAAAAAAAAATCTATTATTGAATTGGACCAAAAACCAAAATCTACTATTGAAAAAAAAACTACTTATTCTATTATTTTTATAAAAAAAAAAAACGATTTATAGCATAAATTTAGTGATGTAACTTATTGGGATAAATTTAAAATAAGTTAAATTAATAAATTTATCTAGTAACTTTTGTATTTGTTTTAATTTTTAGTTAATAAAATTTTTTTTCCACATAGGTTATGTATATTTTATATCTATTTTAAGATAGTCTTTTTTAAGCTGACAATTATTGTTAGTAACAATTTAATCTTACTTACCACTAATTGTGTTAGTTATGACTAGGTAGGATCTAAGTTTGTAATTTAATGAATATTTGATGAGTGATGGTTAAATTAATTTTTAATAAAAAAATTAAAATTATAAATTTAGAGTTTCTAATCTCATAATTTTTTCTTGAGCTTCCATTATTACAAATGAAATTAACAAGTCAGTCTACTATCTCTTGATCTATTAGCTTTTAACTGCTTCTCTTGTTTTACTAACTCTTTTTCCTTCCTCACAATTTCTCCTGCAAAGAGATACTTGAATCAAGGTACCACCGAAGAAAAGTTTCACATGCTCCTCTTCTTCTTTATTCATTTTCTCTTTTAGCTCTACAATTTCACCTAAGTAGTGGTTTACTAACAACTCCAACCAGCTTCACAACATTCATGTTATTAATGGTGTTGTTAACTTAGTCTTTATTATTATTTTGAAGATTAGTATTACTTTTCATTTCTTTGGAAAGTATATTTAGGTAGCCCCACCTCTAAATTATATTCTTGTTAAAAATACTATGCTTGAAGGAGATTACTGGTGGAGATGTCTATGCCATGGGCATGGTTTCTAACACCTTCAATTTTATTTCTTTTACCACTTTTGCCATAGTTGTCAATATCACAAAAGTTTTTGTTGAGTTTTTCTCTAATGATAAATAATGTATCACTTGTTTTTCAAAACACTCACAATACAACCAATAATCTGGATCTACTTACATGATTCTTAGATGAATGTTCTTCAAGAATTTCACAAGATTTTCTTTGCACTTTTGCTAATGTACAAAAATGAATTTTTTTATTCTTTCTTTCTTCAATTTGTGTGTAACAAAAAAACATATCATTTTAAATTACATAATATAATATTATCTTATTACACATTTAATTCCACATCAACAGAGTTAGTTTACCAGAGAGGAGTAACGTGAAATATATATATATATATATATATATATATATATATATATATATATAATATCATATCTATATGGAAAAAAAAATTACTAGTCAAAGTTAAAACAAAAATAAGAGTTAAGAGATCAACTCACTAATTTAGCCTTAAAAATATCTTATGAAAGTTACAAGCTTTATATAAATTCTTTCACATGAGCCCATTATACTTGTTGATAATATATATATATATATATATATATATATATATATATATATATATATATATATATATATATTGCATTTCATTTCTCATAAGATTAATAAATAGTATTGTATGAATAATTTCATTTATGATCAAAGAGATTGATGTTCTTGTTATTAACTAAAGGTAAGATAAAAACCTTGATAAGGTCTATTTTAAATAAAATTTTCAATAAATATTTATAAGAAAGGAAAATTTAAACGAATTAAGAAAATAAAAAAAATTATTTTTTTATACATATAAAAATCAACTTATGTATATTTTGATTTATAAAAAATTGAGTAAATTCACATATTAATCTCTTAAATAGTAAATGTTGTGTATATTAGTTACACTTAGGTCACTCATGTTAACTAATAATTAAAAAATATTAAATTTAATTATTAAATAACACGTAAATACTAAGACGATGTCTTCAGTAACTAATCTAATTAATTTTATATCATTCTAATTACTCTCATTTTTATTATTTTAACTTTTTTATTCTGTTTTTTAAATAATAACATTTGTGCGTATTAGTTACAGTTAAATTATTCATGTTAACTAACAACTAAAAAAATATTAACTTTTATTATTAAATAACACGTAAATATTAAGATGATATCAATTTAAATAAAGTCAAGAACTAATCTAATCAATTTTGTATCATTCTAATTGCTCTCATCTATATTATTTTAACTTGTTTTATTTTAAAAAAATAATTATTAAAATATTATATTTAAAAAAAATTTCTAGAACATTTTTTGTCACATCACCACTAGTTTTTCACCTTGTATGTGTAAAATTTTTTTTCAATTTTTAAAATGCTTTTGCATGATGAAACTTAACCTTAAAAAAAGGAATTTTGTACATTAAGAAGACAAAACTTAGATATCATAATATGTGCAAAATTGTAGATAATTTTGTTCCTACATTATGTAAACTTGTTTGTATTTTTAAGTGCAAGTCCAATCTATTGCGTATGTAAACTCCAATCCTTGATCAAACTTACGCTTTCCAGCTGTGAACTAGACATTTCTTTTCTTCCTTTATGCGTTGCATATCCAAATGAGGAATCGGACATTTCCTTCCATTATTTCTCATTCCATTTCCTTTGTCAATCTATACTATAAATTCTTAAAACCCATTTTCACCTTCAAAATAACATTGTTTGGGGATAGAGATTAGGAGTAGAGTTGAAATTTTCTTTTGAATGCAGTTTCTCACACTTATGCAAAACCTACGCCGAACATCAGAAATATTTCCATTCACACCCACTCTTCAATTCTTTTTTTTTTAAATGAATTTCATTTGTTATATGGACAAAATTGTTTACATTCTGACACATGTCATGATATTTTTTTCCTCTAACTTACAAAATTCTTTAAAAAACAAAGTTTCATCTCTCTAACGTGCTAAGTTCTTTAAAATTTTAAAAAATTAATTAAATTTCATTTGCGTAAGGTGCTAAAATTAAAAAAAAAAAAAAAAAGGTTTCACAGTGCAAGGTGTAAAACACTTAGTGATGTAACAAAAAATGTCCCAAACAAAAATTTGTTTGAAAATAATATCATTTTAATAATTTTCAAAAATAAAAAAGCCCCATTATTCTGTCTCAAATTATGTCGTTCTTAATTGCCCACCCCATCACTTCTTACTCCCTCTCCTACACTAACATCTTCCACCAAAACCTCCACCACCTGTCCCCCCCTCTCCTTATTTCTATTTTTCTCTCGTTTTAAACCATTGTTGCAACTCTTTCTTCTCTTTTTCAATGGCAATTTATGGATTGAAGTTGTTCAAAGAAGAAGGAGATCCATCGTAGTTTATGATTGATTTATGTACTTATATTTGTGATGAGTGTGGGTGAATACGTGTCTTTTAATTCGTAGTGGAGAGTTTGAAAAGGATGATGAGAATAATACCTTTGACTCTACTAGCTCTTAGCAATTACAAATTGAGAAGGATACTAAGAACAATGTTTTTAACTTGCAATTTGCTAGTTTTTAACAAAACTAGCCTCCAATGAGAGAGAGAGGAGAAGAGATGTGATTTTATTCATTTTACTGGATTTGAAATATTTATTCACCATAAAAGCCATGTATGATGAAACCTATATGCTTTTCTAAATACATCATTTTTTATAATGATATATTCTTTTTCATTAAATCTATCCTACAAAGGGAGAATTTTTTATGTGGCCAAATGTTACATTCTATTTTATTGCGTTCCTAATTTTTTATTTTATTCAGTTATTATTTTAAATTCAATGCGTAATATCAGTAGGAAGAGGAAGTCCCTAGTTGATTAGCAAAAGGCAGGACATTAGCACTCAAAAGAATAGGGACCTCCATGGACGGCGAATCTAAAGAGTAAGACCGTGTTTTATTTGCCTTACGAATAATTGAATAAACTGGACCTGTGGGACCTGCGACCAGGAACTGATACACTTCCAGAGCTATGTCTTCCAACCGAACCAACAGAAGCAAACTCAGAAGCTCTCAAGGTTCCATGTCAGAGAGAGATAAACAAACTCAACATATCAGAGAAAGGCGTGAATAATATGAAGAGCTCAAGAAAAGCCAAACGAACGCGCGATTCGATGCATCTGTTTGATTTTACTCATGTCACCGCAGAACCAAACACGCCATAAAAGATACAAGAGGAAAACGAAACCTCTGCAGCAACTGCACATAATTCGTATAACATACCAGACACAGAAACAAGCAGATACAAGATAGAAGGAACCTAAAAGGGTTGTCACTTAGCATGAAAAGTTCAAAGTATCAAAACAAATTTTAAATGAAAACAGAGTAATAAACATAAGTGTGGTTGAAATTGTGTCAATAATGCAAGACTCCAACCCTAGATGAAGATTTAACCTTCTTCTTGGATTGCTTCTTCTGCTTCTCCAAAGCGTCAAAATCGGTTCTCTCTTTCCACTTACTCTTACAAAGCTTAATTGGACGGTTCCCAACGTACTTTCCATTCATCTCTTTAAGCGCAACTGCCAGATCCGAGGGATCCGCAAAGCTCACGAATCCGTACCCTTTCGTTTTCCCCGAACGCTTGTCCCTCACTACCCTCGCCATGTTGAACGAAGGAAAACGCGAGAACGCTTTCGACAAAACGTCGTCGTTTACCTCGTTCCCTAGATCCCCGCAGAAGAGTCGGTGGTCGTTCTCCGGCCACTCCGCCAGCGACGGATCCTCCCACGACTGCCCAGCTGCACGCCGCGGAACGGCTTTCTTCTTCGCCTCCGCCTTGTGCTCGATGTCGCTGTTGGCGATCGCCGCCTTCACGTTCTCGAGGGCTTCCGGCGTGATCGTCTGCGCGTCCCTCTGGAATAGCTGCTGCGCCTGCGGGAACGGGTACGCGCTGCCGTTGGGGAGTGGCGCTGCCGCGTAGGGAGGAGGGTAGTGTGTGGGCGGTTGCTGGAGATGGAAGGGCGTGGGGAAGTAAGAGGCGTCGGAGGAGTAGGTGAACTGCGAGGAGGAGGAGGAAGAGGAGGCGGGGTTCGCCATGAATCCCTAAATTGAATCGAATTAGGGTTTCGGAAATTGGGGATTGGGAAGCTATGCCAAGGGTTTCTGATTCTTCAACGGAGGGGATTCGATTCCTTTATTGCTAGCCTCAGGGTTTTCGCTTCGTCAGAATAAACAAAACAACTTACAAATTTGAAGGGTCCGCAGCAGGGTAGGATAGGAACATCTTCGAGCGGGTCGATTGAAGTGCGATTCTCACATGAACAATTATTATTTTATATTAAAAATTCGCCTTTTTTATTCTATCCTTTTGAATACATAATATGGTCCCTAATATAGGCGTACTTAATATTCGGATGGGTTTATCTTTATCCTTCCCACGCCTAATTTCCTTTTTAATTATAACCCAAGTCTTGATAGTATTAAGATAACATGTAATCAAAATATTTTTCAAAATCATAAAATTAAATTACTTTGTATAAATAACCCACGGGTGTAGAAAAAACTCGCATAGGTGTATTGATAATTGGCATCAAAGTCTCGAAAAAGTTCTAAAATTGTAATTTTAATGTAACAAGAAAATAAAAAATAAGATAACATATTAAAAATAAAAAAAATTTGTATTTGACTTGTGAATAATGTATGTATCATATTATTAACATTAGTTGTAATTATATTTATTTATAAAAATATAATAATCTAAATAGTGAGTGACTCTTAGTCAATTTTTTTTTAATTTGCATGAAATCGAGTCTAAATAAGTTGAGTTAAAAATGACTCAAATTTATTTAAGTTTTTATTTTAATGCTTAAATCCTTATTTTTTGAGTATTTTTGAGTTGACATATTGAATATACCTATTTTGTTAGTTCTATGTTAAGATGACGAAAATATCATATAAAACTAATAGTATTTTAGAATCTTTATATTGTTCTTATTTTCATAAATTATAGTTCAAATGAGAAGATTAAATTTTTCTCTAATATTTAACTCTTAATTAAAAATAGTTAAGCTAATATAAAGATAGTCTAAATCTACTTTACTGTATCTTTCAATATGATATCCATTATATGTAATATTATTTAGTAGATTTCTTTGGCATGAATTCTTCCAAAGTTAATGTTAATTGAAAGATTTTTTTTCAAAGAGATGTGTGAGGAATGCTAGCAAAATGTTATTTAACACATTTTTAAACATATTTTTAGTTATTAGTTTAATTTATTAAAAACTATAAAAATATGAGAAATAAATATTAAGTTAGGAGTAAAAAAAGTAAAATTTATATATATATTTTAATAATTTATAACAAATAGCTAAGAGTGTGTGATAATAAGTAGCCTTTTTCTTATGTAGATTGTATCATTATATGCTAAAGATATATCATTCCCTATTATAAAAGTTATTTTGAAGTATCTAGTAAAATAAATATTTTATAATGTTAGAGAATTGACCATAGCTAAGAAATATGAAAAGTATTTTGTTAGGATGTGACTCTCTAAACAATTTGGGGGCTAGGGTTACCTACCAAGAGAACTAAAAGAGAATAGGGATTCTACCAAAATAATAACTTCAAACTTTTCTCTTTTCTTTTCATCATAAAAACTATACATATATAGCCTTAAAATCAGGCCTACAAGACGAGCTTTCAACTAAATGAAATAACATATTTAAACAAAAATATCTAAATTGACAAAAGACTAACATTTAATAACTAACATAAATAACGTTGTGGCTTTTTTTTATGCGTTTGGGCCTCGTAACATTACCCTCTAGTCCAACATTGACCTTGCCCTCACGGTCCAACTGCAAAGGAGATCGAGTTCAGAGAGGCGCCCCAGCAGTCAGGGTTAATTGGTTGGAAGGTGTGGGGGGAATTAAAAGAGGGGCAGTAATAGGAAATTGCTGCTTAATAGAGCATACATTTTGTTGAACTGTGCACGTGGTAGAGGGCTCGGGATCACGGGCAGGAATCAATGGAACATATTGTGCTCTTATCAAGTTGTGGCTATCTAACGGATGAAGATCCATCGGGGTTTGAATTGGCAGAGATAAAGTTGAGTGGGAATCAGCTGGCACAGGGCTACTGCTAAAGGATGTAGATGCCCTAAGGAATCAATGGGTAGGATTGTATCCGTTACCACCTTGTGAGAATTCAACAAATCCGTCGAAGGAGAAAAATCTCCCTTGGAAGTGGCATGTACTTGAGGCATAATAGAAGAAAGAGAAGTACTTCTAGAGGAAAGCTCAGAAACATGAGTTTGAGCATCAAAAACGTCGTTCTGGCAAAAAATATTTGTTTCTCTTTTCTCATGAACATCATTTGGATTTCTGTCCGAAGAAACACACTTTCTCTTTGGAACGTCGCCAATCTCCGTTAAGCTTGGGTCATTTAAAGCTGGGGAAGGAGATTCAGTGATGTCGTTTTGCAGATCGGAGGGTAAAGGAGTGAAATGAGAAGTGGGATTTGCACCATGAAAAGGCCGTAGTAGTGAAACATGTACCACATGATGCATACGAGAGTCTGGTGGGAGCTGGAGTTCATAAGCGACAGCTCCGATGCGGCGAAGCACGAGAAAAGGGCCAAAATATCGTTTGCTCAACTTGTGGGACACACGCCCAACGACAGATTGTTGGCGATATTGATGGAGCTTGAGCAACACCAGATCCCCAGGTTTGTATACATAGTCCCTACGAGATTTATTAGCTTGATCTTGCATCCTTTGTTTGGTTCTCTTAAGGTTGGCCTTCAATTGTTACAAGAGCAGATTGCGTTGACTGAGAGTGGTGTCAAGAGGCTCAAGCGAGGTCGAACTAGGGACGTAGTCTGGGAAGGACGGAGGAGGTCGACCATATAAAGCTTGGAAGGGAGACATGCCAATGGAGGAATGAAAAGCTGTGTTATGCCAAAACTCGGCTAGATGTAAAAACTTGTACCAGCTTCTTGAATTTTCACCTACAAAACAGCAAAGGTAAACTTCTAAGCTACGATTGACTACTTCGGTTTGGCCGTCTGTCTTTAGATGATAAGCTATGTTATATTTCAGTGTGGTATTTTGGAGTCGGAATAGTTCCTTCTAGAATGAACAGAGAAAGATAGGGTCACGGTCTGAGACAATAGATTTGGGAATGTCGTGCAGGCGACAGACCTCCATTAAGGATCGAGCTGCTAAGTCAGGTGCCGTAAATTTGCGCGGGAGTGCCAAAAAATGCACATACTTGGTCAAGCGATCACAAATGACCCAGATGGCAGAATGACCAAAGGAGGATGGTAGATGAGTCACAAAATCCATGGTAAGATCTTCCCAAACTCGCTTAGGGGTAGGTAAAGGGTGTAACAACCTTGCCTTCTTTTGTGTAGTGTATTTGTTGTGCTGACAGGTGGAACAATTTTTAACGAACATCTTTGTTTCTGTATACATGCTTGGCCAATAAAAGGAAGCTGGCAAGCGAGCTAGGGTGGGGCGGAAACCAGAATGACCAGCTATTGGGGTGGCGTGAAACTCAAAGAGGAGCTCCTGCCGCAGATTTGGTAAATCAAGTACATATAACCGCCTTTGATAGTAAAGGAGACCATGAGCAAAAGAAAAAATAGAGCTTGATCCATCTGTGAGCAACTACTTAACTAAACCTTTGTCTTCCTCTGTTTGCTGATAATAATGTTGGAGTTGCTGCACAAGAATGGGTATCGGGGAGGAAATGGAGTACAACAAGGAGGTAGAGTCAATCTGGCAGCGGGATAAGGCATCCGCAACACGATTAGAGCGACCAGGTTGGTAGTGTATCTCAAAACTGAACCCTTGGAGCTTTGTTGCCCATTTCTGTTGTTTGGGTGTTTGAAAAGCTTGCTTCATCAAGTGCTTTAGGCTTTGTTGATATGTGAGGATATGGAAATGACGACCAATGAGATACTGATGCCATTTCTTGACTGCCTCTATGATAGTGTACATTCATGGATGTAGACAGAAGAAGCATGAAGTTGAGGGCCCATTTTCTTGCTAAAGAAGGCGATTGAGTGGCCCTCTTGAGATAGCACAGCACCCACTGCAGTAGCGGAGGCATTAGTTTCAACAAAGAACGGTTTGAAGAAATTAGGTAGAGCAAGGACATGCAGAGTAATCATCTTTTCTTTTAGTTTTGTAAAAGCCACAGAGGCTTCTTTTGTCCATGTAAATTCGGATGACTGTAATAAATCAGTAAGTGGAGTGGCGAGTGTGGCATAGTCGCGGACAAATCGCCGGTAGAAACCTGTGAGGCCTAAAAAACTGCAGAGTTGCGTGAGGGATTTGGGCGAAGACCTGTTACTGATTGCTTGAACTTTATTAGGATCAGGGGCAACACCCTGGGTGGAGATAACATGACCTAGGTAGCTAATAGATGAAGTAGCAAAAATACACTTATAATTTAGCAACAAATTGATTAAAACAAAGGAGGTCTAAAACTGTGCGTAAATGATCCAAGTGCTCAGGAAAGGTAGTGCTAAAAATAATATATCATAAAAAAAAATGAGGACAAACTGCCTTAGGTAGGGTCGCAGCATGTCATTCATGGATGACTGAAATGTAGATGGTGCATTAGTTAAGTCAAATGGCATAACTAAGAATTCGAAGTGACCATTGAAAGTGCGGAAAGCAGTCTTGTGAGTGTCTTTAGGTATAACTCTGATTTGGTGGTATCTAGATCGGAGATCAATTTTAGAAAAAATGGTGGCAAAACCCAATTCATCTAATAATTCATCTATGGTAGGGATTGGGAAACGGTCTTTGATAGTAACTGTGGGCTCAGTAATCCACACAAAATCTTCAAGTCTCGTCTTTCTTTTTTACTAACAAAATAGGGGAGGAGAATGGACTGCAACTAGGTATGATGATCCCTTCTTGCAATCTCTCATGGATGATGCTTGCCATGGCTTCTTTTTGGAAGTGTGGATATCAGTAAGGCCGGACATTTATGGGCGGTGTGTTTGGGAGTAGGGGAATATGGTGATCATGTGGTCTAGGAGGAAGAAGACCCTTTGGGGGGTAAAAACAGAAGGGTAAGATAAGAGAAGGTTTTGGAGGTCCAAAGGAAGGTTGGGTAAGGGTGAAGAAGCATCAAATAAGGGATTAAGGTTAAGGGTGGAATATGGGGTGGAATCTGGTAGAGTAACAGTGAGGAGATATAGGGAAGCTATAGAGTCGGTATGGAGGAGTTGACAAAATTAGTGGTAGGGGGTTGGAGAGGGAAGGGGCTCATTCATGCCAGCGAGGGTAATGGGCTGATTGAGATGGAAAAATGAGATACTAGGGATAGCAAAATCAGCAA